TCCATCCAACCGGCCGTTCCTGTGCCAGCCCCCGCGCCAGCCCTTTCCCGCTGACACGGCAGAATCGGAGGCCAGTCCCCCCCCCCCCCCCCGCCGGCCTTTGATCTCCGGGTCAACGTCCTTGTTGGAGAGGAGAGGCGTCCGAGGCCTAGAGGTCAAGGGCTAACAGCCCCGAGGAGGCCCCACGTGCACACCGCAGACCGACTCCTGAAGTGCCGATCTGCTTCCGGGTGAATCCCAACCCCAGAGCGGCCGGGAACCCTCAGCCTCTGTCCCCTGGCTCTCAGGGCTCCCGCCGCCTGCTTTCGGCGGCCCACACCCCCGGGCCCGGCCAGGGACCCGGGATGGGCACAGCCACCCCAGGGCTGCCAGGGGGCGGGGCCTGGTCTCCTCGCGGCCGGCCGGACCCCAGGGGCTGACCTCTTCCTGTGGGGCCGGGCGGTTGCTGCTGGACAGACACCACTGTAACCCACAGGGTCAGGGTCAAGGTCAGGAGACATAGGCCCCGGGGTGGCAGAGGTCAGGCGAGGTTGGGTAGGTCGGGGAGAGGTTCCTGGATCGGAGCTTTGCGGGTCAGGGAGGATCTCGCAGGAGGAGACAGGGCAGGGGCAGTTGAGGCCACAAGGGATGCTGGGAAGGGATGGGGGTAGGTCTTTTTTTTTAATTTCTTTATTGATTAAGGTATTACATGTGGGTCCTTATTCCCCCATTACCCCTCCCGCCTCCCATTCACGCCCCCACCCCCTGCTGTCTGTGTCCATTGGTTAGGCCCATATGCATGCACACAAGTCTGTTGATTGATCTCTCCTCCTTACCCCCACCCTCCCCGACCTTCCCTGGGGTTTGACGTTCTGATGGTTGTTTCTCTGTCTCTGGATCTGTCCCTGTTCATCCGTTTATGTTGCTCAGAACTATATTCCACAAATGAGTGAGATCCTGTGGTATTTATCTTTCTCTGCCTGGCTTATTTGCACTTAGCACAATGCTCTCCAGCTCCATCCATGTTGTTGTTGCAAATGTTAAGAACTTCCTCTTGTTTATCTCTCTCTCTCTCTCTCTCTCTCTCTCTCTCTCTCTCTCTCTCTCTCTCTCCCCCCCCCCCCCTTCCCCCCTCTCTCAGGAACCAGCCCGGAGGAGTTTACCAGGTGATTATTCCAGGATTTATCTGATCAGATTACCTGGCTGCTCCCCAGGGGGTGGGCGGTGGGAGGAGTGGAGGAAGGAGTGGGGAGACCGGAGGAAGGGTAACCTGGGCCTTTGTCAGGGGCAACTCCGGACTCCTGGGGGCGGGGGCGTGCAGGGGGAGGTTGGAGCTGGTTCCCGCGGGGGAAGTTTTCCCTGTGGGCTCCTGCTGGCAGCTCCCAGGTGAGTCCGTCCCTGGGCCCACGGCACCTGGCAACCTGTGGCCCAGAAACCTGGGCCTGGATTCCCTGCTCTGCACACCCTCACCCTCACTCTCACCCTCAGGTTCCTCAACAAACGGCCGGACCTTCCCCCCTGGAGGGTCCCGGGGGCTTAAAGGAAAAGCCAGATCCGAAAAGGCCTTGTCGACTGGGAAGCGCTGAACCCACAGGCGGGCGGTTCTTCTGTTTCCCTCTGAGTAGGTGGGACACGGAAGGGTCTTAGATACAGGGTCCTGGCCACAGATCCAGCAAGGAAGGCAGCCAGGCCCTGCCCTACGCCAGAAGCTGATGATTCCTTCATCTTTTTATATATAATTAAAAAATATATTTTATTGCTGTTCTATAGAGAGGAAGGGAGGAGGGATAGAGAGTTAGAAACATCGATGAGAGAGCCCTGGCTGGTTTGGCATCAGTCTGCTGTCCGGGGAGGGGGTCCCAGGTTCGATTTCAGCCAAGGGCACATGCCCAGTTTGCGGGCTGGATCCCCAGTAGGGGGCGTGCAGAAGGCAGCAGATCGGTGATTCTCTCTCATCACTGATGTTTCTAGCTTTTTCTCCCTCTCCCTTCCTCTCTGAAATCAATAAAGAAATATATTTAAAAGAAAAGAAACGAAAGAAAGAAACATCGATGAGAGAGAAACATTGATCAGCTGCCTCCTGCATACCTCCCACTGGGGATGTGCCCGCAACCAAGGTACATGCCCTTGACCGGAATCAAACCTGGGACCCTTTAGTCCGTAAGCCGACGCACTATCTGCTCGCTGAGCCAAACCAGTCAGAGCTACAATTTTTTTTAATTGATTTCAGAGAGGAAGGGAGAGGGGGAGAGAGATAGAAACATCCACGATGATGAGAGAGTCATCGATCCCCTCTGGGGATGGAGCCTGCAACCCGGGCCTGTGCCCTTGACTGGGAATTGACCCGTGACCTGCCCGTTCATAGGCCGATGCCCAGCCACAGAGCCACGCCAGCCAGGCCAGCATCCATGTACTGAACAGCCTAGACGTGTGCTGGATACTCGGCCGGGGCAGCGGGCTCGTGGGGGCTCCGGGGTGAGCAGCCCGGGGCCCGGGGCCCGATGCCCGGGGCTGATGGTCTAGCCGGGTAAAGGCCGCATAAGCCGGGCCACATCGAGGTCCGGCCGGTCCCCGCTGCCTCCTCCTCTCCCCGCCTTTCCCGTTCTGGTCACGCGTCCCACCACCCACCATCGCCACGCGGCTCACGCCTCTGGGTCCCCTCGGAATGAATGGAACGTTCTATGTTCCTCCCGCCCCACATTTCCAGTCCCAGTTCCAGCGCCACGCCTCCCCGGAAGCTTCCGAGGGGCTTCCTCCAGTCCCACACGGACAGCCCCCTCCTCTGGGTGACTTCCCGGTCGGTCGGTCACCGGCCACCCCTCCCGGGGACGCACCCCGGGCCCTCGCTTTGTAGGTGAGGGTGCCGGGGCGTCTGATCTTCGGGAGGAAGGGCCAGGTGGGATCCGGTTCATTCAGGTCCTCAGAGCAGCGCCTGCGGCCTGGTACACAGCGGGCGGGAAGAATGGCCCCAGGCCTGGGCCGGAGGTACCCTGTTTCCCCGAAAATAAGACAGTGTCTTCTGTTAATTTTTGCTCTCAAAGATGCGCTAGGTCTTATTTTCAGGGGATGTCTTATTTTTTCCATGAAGAAGAATACGGTACACGTTTATTGTAAAATGAAAATAAAGGAAATTGATTACCTGTATATACGGTACGGTAGTACGGTAGTTGTCAACACAAACCAGACAAACTGTGAATCCTACAGGATCAAGAATGTACTCATTTATTCCATGACAATCATGTCATCATCTTCTGGAACATCATCCTAACGATCCAATTCCTGAATTTCCCGGTGAATTTCCTGTGACTCCATTTCTTTCAGAATCAGTGGACCAAATCTCTCATGTTTAGCCTCGGGGGGGGGGCTTATTTTCGGGGGGATGCCTTCTATTTCACTCAGAAGGAAACCTGTAAGTAGGTCTTATTTTCGGAGGATGTCTTATTTTGGGGGAAACACGGTAGGTAGGAGTGGGGAGGGCTGTGGGGCTCAGAGAGGAGGGTCTGGGACTGGGGTGTATATGGCAGGACAGTCAGACCTGTAGCTACACACCGGAACCCCCAGCTCCGACCCCTGGGTGTAAGGAGGGGAGGGGGAGAGGAAGCAGATAAGCTGATAGCAAGCTTCACGTCACTGGGCCATGACTTACCCGTTTTTATTTATTGTACAAGGATTTCAGAGAGGAAGGGAGAGGGAGAGAGAGACAGAAACGCCCGTGATGAGAGAGAATCATGGGTCGGCCGCCTCCTGCACGCCCCGCACTGGGGAGTGAGCCCGAAACCTGGGCATGAGCTCCAACCGGGAGTCGAACCCGGACCTCCTGGGCCAGAGGTCGGCAAACTCATCCGTCCACAGAGCCAACGCTCAACAGCACAGCGGTTGCCGTTTCTTCGGAGAGCCACGTTTTTTAAACTTAAACTTCTTCTAGCGCCACTTCGTCAACATAGACTCGCCCAGGCCGTGGCATTCTGTGGAAGAGCCACACTCAAGGGGCCAAAGAGCCGCAGGTGGCTCGCGAGACGCGGTCTGCCGACCGCTGTCCTGGGCCAGAGGTTCAACGCTCAACCACTGAGCCGCAACGGCTGGCCAGGCGGCCCAAGACTTCCTTCCTTCTTGTCCACCCTGCTCCCTCCCCACACCCCCAGCCCCCACCCACCACCCCACCACACCCATCCCTGCGGTGGTGGGAGCCTGGCCAGCCCCGCTGGCCGGAGGGAGGCCGTGCGGGGCAGCACGGGAGTGATCCCCAGGGAGAGCCTGTGCACGGCCCTGCCCTCAGCTCCCTGACCCGCTCCTGCCGACGGCAAGTCCAGACCGTCCGCCTCCCCGGAGCAGATGGAGGAGCTCGGACCCGGACAGGTGACGCGGCCCGCTGCCTGGGCTCAGCGATGTGAGGATGCAGAACTCGAACCCGGCCTCGGCAGCATTCCTCCGTGCTGGCCGAGGGTGCGAGCCGCTCAGGGACAGCTCGCAAAGTGCCTGCCGGGAAGGTCAGGTCCGGGGTGGGCAGAGCGACGGAGACGAGGTCCTTCCTCGCCCCCTCGGCCTGCCTGACCCGCGGGAGGAGGGGGCCGATGAGGACCAGCCTCCCCTGCCCCTCCCCCCCCCCCCCCCTGCACTCAGGTCAGCCAGGGAGGCCAGTCAGGGTGACCTGATCCCTCCACCCCGCCCCTAGTGGCACCCCAGGCAAGCTCCCTGCGTCTGGGGTGGGGGGGGAGGGGAGGAGAGATCCTGTGCCACGGAGGTCTGATCGTACAAGAACCCTTTAGAACGCAGACGGGGAAACTGAGGCCCCGGAGCTCAGGTGTGTGGCCCCGGGCCACGCCGTGAGCTGGAGATAACCCGGGACTGGAATCCAGACTTCCTGCTCCTCCGGCGCCCTCTGGCCTGGGCTTGGCCGGGGCGCTCCTGCTGGCCCCCTGCCGACCTGCGGAGGGCTAAGGGGAGTCCGAGCATCCTCCCCCCGCCCCGCCCCGCCCCTGGGGATCCTTTAAAAGGCGGGGCTTGGCGGCTGGCCAGCGGCCCCGGCTAAAGGCTGGGACGTCGGTGACTCCGACAGCAGAGCCAGCCGAGCTCGGAGCTCCATCAGCCGCCGCCGCCTGCCCAGCCCGACCGAGCCACGATGAGCGGGAGAGTCGGCGACCTGAGCCCCAAGCAGGAGGAGGCTCTGGCCAAGGTGAGCCCATCCCGGCCCCGGCAGTGGCCCCATCCCTCCAGCCCCGGCGAGCTCGGGAGCTCCATCCTCGGTCCCAGGCGGGCGGCAGCGGCAGCGGCAGCTGGGGACACCTGGGGCCCGCGGGCACCCCCGCCGAGGGCCGGGGGGGGGGGGTTGGCGCACCCCAGCCGGCCCCAGCCCGGGCGAGCCCCCCGGGGTGCCACCTGGGGGGACGCGCTGGCCCGGGAGCCTGGGAGGCGGCTCGGGGCACAAAGGCGACATTCATCCCGGGACTGGCAGCCGGGCGGGCCGGGAGCCGGCCCCGGGCTCCGAGCGTTTCCGGGAGCATTTCCTGCGGCCGGGCAGGGGCCCCGATGGGAAGGGCCCTGGACAGCTCCCAGGGTGGCCCCCGGCCCGGGGTCCGCGTCCCCCGGCGACCGTGGGCCAGCCCGCCCGTCCTGCGTGTCCGTGACGGGCCGGGAGGGGCTGGACCAGAGGCTGGGCGTGTGGGGAGTCTGGGATCCCCAACGTGACTCAGGGGTTGGGGTTCCCGGGGGCCGTCCCGCTGAGGCCGGCGGCATCCTGCCCTCGCCCGCCCTCCCGGGACCTGGTCCGAGGCGAGGCTCTCTCTCTTCCCGGCCTGGCTCTGCCCTGGCACCTGGGCAGCGGGCACCCCTCCCCTCCCCACCTCCTGAACCTCCATGTACCTGTCGCCGGGGGGGGGGGGGGGGGGGGAGGTTCGCTGTTCTTTTTCCTTTTCTTTTTCTTCTTCTTCTTCTTCTTCTTCTTTTTTTTTTTTTTTAATGTTTTTAGTGATGTCAGAGAGGAAGGGAGAGGGAAAGAGACAGAAACATCCGTGATGGGAGAGAATCACAGATCGGCTGCCCTCCTGCACAGCCCCCCACTGGGGATGGAGGCTGAGACCCCTGGGCATGTGCCCTGAACCGGAATCGAACCCGGGACCCTTCAGGCCGCAGGCTGGCGCTCTATCCACTGAGCCACACCGGCTAGGGCCGTGGTCAGCACACCGCGGCTCGCGAGCCACATGCGGCTCTTTGGCCCCCGGAGTGTTTAGCAAAAGCCAGCTTAGGAGGACCCTCCTTAAGTTAATAACAATTTTTTAAAATATATTTTATTGATTTTTTTTTTTTTACAGAGGGGAAGGGAGAGGGATAGAGAGTTAGAAACATGGATGAGAGAGAAACTTCGATCAGCTGTCTCCTGCACCCCGCTAGTGGGAATGTGCCCGCAACCAAGGCACATGCCCTTGACCGGAATCGAACCCGGGACCCTTCCGTCCGCAGGCCGACGCTCTGTCCACTGAGACAAACCGGTTCTGGCAATAACAATTTTTTAGGTTTAAAAAATGGGGCTCTCCAAAGAAATGTCGATCGTTGTTGTCCTGTTGATACTTGGCTCTGTTGCCTCATGAGTTTGCTGACCCTGGGCTAGGGCCAGGGTGGCTGTTCTTGGAGCCAGGAGGGCCGATGGGGCCTGGTCGCAGGGTCTGCAGGCTCCGTGGCCGGGCACGGTGAGGGGAACAGAGGCCGAGGCAGGGCCCAGGAAGGTTTTGGACAGCCGGGCCGCCCCCTCCCCGCGAGGCTGGGAAGGAAGGTTCTGGGTGGTCCTGCCGACGGGCAGGGGAAGCCGGGCAGACAGGGGATTCGGTGAGGTGGTGATTTCACTGGGACGGGGGCCAGGGAGGGTCCTGGGTCGGGCAGCCGCCAGGGGTTGGGTGGCCTGAGTCCTGGGCTGACCCGGGCCAGGGGCAGAGGTGGCGGTCCTCACGGGCCCCTCGGCGGCTGCCCCGGGGTCAGGGTCAGGGACGGGGGGAGGTGACGGCGGGGAGCGTTGGGCTGGGGAGGGCAGGCAGCAGGTGTGCTCACACACCGGGCGGCGAACCGTTGGAAGGGGGCGTGGCCAGGCCTTGGGGTCACGTCTCCGGGTGACGCTCCCTGCACCTTCCCACCGTCCTGGCTTCCCGCTGGACCGTTCCCTCCACCCGAGGGCCCCTCCCCCTCCTTCAAGACCAGCTCAAATGCCTTTTTAAAAATATTCTTTTATTGCCTGATCGATTTGGCTCAGTGGATGGGGCGTCGGCCTGCGGACTGAAGGGCCCCAGGTTCGATTCCCGTCATGGGCATGTACCTTGGTGCAAGCACATCCCCAGTGGGGGGTGTGCAGGAGGCAGCTGATCGATGTTTCTCTCTCATCGATGTTTCTGACTCTCTCTCTCCCTCTCCTTTCCTCTCCGTAAAATATCAATAAAAAAAAAAATCTATTTAAAAAAATAGATTTTTTTTTTATTGATTTCAGAGAGGAAGGGAGAGGGAGAGAGAGACAGAAACATCCATGTTTGAGAGGCAATCACCGATCGGCTGTCTCCTGCACGCCCCCCCACCTCCCGACCCCCATGGGGCATCAAGCCCAAAACCCGGGTATGTGCCCTGACCAGGACTCGAACCTGGACCTCCTGGTTCATAGGTCAGCGCTCAACCACTGAGCCATGCCAACCGGGCTCAAATGCCATTAAAAAAAAAAAAAAATGAAGCCATGTGAGACCCCCTGTTGCTGGCTGTGGTCAGAATCAGAATCAAACTCCCCCTTTCCCTCTCCCCTGCCCAGAACATTGCTCTCCCTCCATTGCTTAGTGGGGTTTGGGGGGGCTTCGGGGGGGGGGGACAGGCATGCTCTGGCCTCCGACAGACCTGGCTTTGCGTCCAGCTCTGCTGTTTCACGTCGGGCATGTTTCTGAACCTCTCTGAGCTCCGACCCCGCCTCTGTAAAACGGGCACAGTAATACCTCTCGGGACTGTGAGTGAGGCAGGAACAAGACAAGTGCCGAGCTCAGCGCTGGGCACGGGGGACGCCTGGCCAGTGACTGCGGCGGGTCCCACCTGGTCTACCGTCTCCGTTCGCCGAGAAGATGCCGCCAGCCCACCCCGTGGAGGGGGGTCGGGCTCGCAGCCAGGCAGGCCCAGGGTCTCACTCCCTCCCCACCCCCTCCCGCTGCCCGGCTCCCACTGGCAGGGCAGACAGAATGCCTGTGCAGCCCCAATGCTCAGCCAGCGCCTGCCGAGTTGGCTTGGGGTGAAGGGGGATGGGGGGCAGGAGTGGGGAGAGGCCAGCAAAGCCCCGGTGGAGACCCCCGGGCAGAGGGCAGCGGGCGGGCCCTGCCCCTCACCCCGCCGCCTCTCCCTGCAGTTTCGGGAGAATGTCCGGGACGTGCTGCCCACCCTGCCGGACCCAGACGACCACTTCCTGCTGCGCTGGCTCCGAGGTGAGGGGAGAGGGGCTGCGGGGGCTGGGGCAGGGCTCCTTCGGGGTCCCACCATAGCACCCTCCGGAAACCCCGGGCCTGGCGATCTGAGGACCCGGAGTCGCCAGCCCTCAGGGGCCAAAGGGCCCCTGGCAGTTACATAACCTCCCCCTCCTCCTGGAGAGATAACAGGAGGCTCAGAGAGGTGAGGTGACTCGCCCCATGCCACACAGCACTTGAGCTGCCGGCCAGGAGTGCAAAGCGTGGGGGCGAGAGCCCGGCTGGCTGAGTCCCAGCCCAGCGCCCTCCCATCCCGCTGCCGCTGGGCTCTCAGCTCGGGAAAGGCCCCAGGCGTGTGGGACGGGGGAGGCGGAGGCAGGCTTAGAACCGGGGTCCCCCCGGCGTCTGGGAGAGGCCGGGCCCCTCAGTGGCCTGTTGGGAGGCAGGCCTCCCAGTTGCGACCAGCTCGGAGGTGAGGGCCATGGGGAGACCCGAGTGCCAATTCTCCTCCGGCTCCAGCCGGGCTGTGGCCCCTGGGCCAGGGGTGAGCATCTACCCTCACACCCCGCCCCCCTCCGGGACAGCAGGACGAGACAGGGCTCCCTGCCCGTTGTAGCATGTGACGTGGCAGAGCTCTGAGCACTGGGGCCAAACTCAACCCCCACCCTAACGCCTGACATCCTTCTGTTCGTGACCCTTCCCTCTTCTGAGATTCCAGTCCCCTGCCTTCTTTTTTTTTTTTTTTTAAATATATTTTATTGATTTTTTTTTTTTTACAGAGAGGAAGGGAGAGGGAGAGAAAGTTAGAAACATCAATGAGAGAGAAGCATCGATCAGCTGCCTCCTGCACACACACACACACACACACACACCCACCCTCCAGGGATGTGCCCACAACCAAGGTCCATGCCCTTGACCGGAATTGAACCTGGGACCCTTCAGTCCACAGGCTGACGCTCTATCCACTGAGCCAAACCGGTTTTGGTGAGTCACCTGCCTTTCTCTCTGGCTCTTGTGACACTTTTTCCCCCCATGTTTTTTTAATAAAATATATTTTTATTGATGTCAGAGAGGAAGGAAAAGGGAGAGAGAGAGAGAAACATCACTGATGAGAGAGACTCATGGATCTGCTGCCTCCTGTTCGCCCGAAAGCTGGGCATGTGCCCTGACCAGGACTGGAGCCGGGACCTCCTGGGTTCATAGGTCGATGCTCAGTCACTGAGCCACACCGGCTTGGCGCACTCCCCCCCCCCTTTCCTTCTTTATAGAAACTTTATTACGAGACATAAACATAATAGAGAATAAACTCCACTTTCTTTAGATTAGCAGAGATTAGGTTGTGATGTGGGACCATAGTTCAAAAATTAAAGTACAAATCAGGCCTGATTGTTTATCTGTAGATACAGGACAATCAGAGTGCCCCACGCACCCCAGCCGGTGTCTGCAGAGTTCACCCCCGCACCCCCACACGCACACACACACACACACACACACACGCACACACACACGCACACACACACGCACACACACACGCACACACACACACACGCACACGCACACGCACACGCGCACAGAGTCTCCGGCAGGTGAGGAGCTGGGTTTCCCGTTTCTGTGCAGACACGGAACAGACTGGCACACGTTCCGAGAAACCACTTGCAGGCGCCCCAAGGCAGGGGCAGCCGGGAGAGCCAGTCACGTGGGGCTGTGCACCCCGGGAAGTGCCACTTGCCCTTTCCTCCCCACAAACACTGCACACCCACAGCCCCCGCCCAGCCCCAGCCGGCAGCTAGCTCACTGAAGGGCTGTAGCTGCAAGGGGGTGGGTAGGTGGAGAGAGTGAAAAACCAGCCCGGCCTTAAAGGGCCAGCTGTCAGATCCTCCAACCAACTACCCAACTGCTGCTAGGTGGAGAAGTGTAGTTTCAGAGAGCTGTGAACAGCAAGGCAGCGCTCTCTCTCTCTCTCTCTCTCTCTCTCTCTCTCTCTCTCTCTCTTTAAAATATACTTTTATTGCCGAAACCAGAGTGGCTCAGTGGATAGAGCGTCGGCCTGCGGACTGAAGGGTCCCGGGTTTGATTCCAGGTCAAGGGCATGTACCTTGATTGCGGGCACATCCCCAATGGGGGGTGTGCAAGAGGCAGCTGATCGATGATTCTTTCTCATCGATGTTTCTAACTCTCTATCCCTTTCCCTTCCTCTCTGTAAAAAAAAAAAAAAAAAAAAAAAAATCAATAAAATATATAAAAAATATTTAAAATATACTTTTATTGATTTCAGAGAGAGGGAGAGGGAGATTAAAAACATCAATGATGAGAGAGAATCATTGATCGGCTGCCTCTTGCACGCCCCCCCCCCGCCCCCCACTGGGGTTGAAGTCCACAACCCAGGCACGGAATGGAACCCGGGGCCCTTCAGTCCGCAGGCTGGTGCTCTATCCACTGAGCCACACCAGCCAGGGCGCTCTCTTTGATCTAAGAGGAGGCAGCCTGGGTTCCTGCCGCTGGTCTCCCAGGCGCCCCCAGCTCCCCAGGCCCGGGTGGGCCTCTCTCTTTGCAGGACCATGGCAGAGGGTGGTCACTCGCACTGCGGCTCAGAGAGGGGAGGACACTCACCCGAAGGCACACAGCTGGTGTGAGGCAGAATCTCCTCCTCAGGCTCATTCGTGCCGCCTCCCCTCTCCCGGGCGGGCGGGAGCTCAGGCTGGGCAGACGCTGCTGTGAATTGCAATCAGGGTTTCTGCGGCCTCTCGCTCTCTCTCTCTCTTTTAGACACTTTTCCCTTCCCCCCTTTGGTTCTACAGGGAGCCTCTGCGAGGTGCATGCCCGTGGCGTGGCTCCTCCTAACCCAGGTGTGAGCGAGCTCCCTCCTCCCCCTCCCCGCTGGTGTCCCCCCGGCCGCGGGCGAGAGCAGACACTCGCTCTCAGGGCCTCTCCCAGGGCCTCTCCCAGCCGGTGGCCGCCCCGCACTCCAGCGGGCAGAGTCAGGTGGCAAATAAACACAAGGAAGTGGTGGCGCCCTCGGGGCGGCCTCGTTTCCCAGGCCTCGGGGGAGTGGCTCCTGGGTGGGCCTCTCAGGCAGGGCCCTGAGCCACGCTTTTTTTTTTTTTTTTTATTGTATATTTTTTTTATATTGTATTGATTTTTTTACAGAGAGGAAGGGAGAGGGATAGAGAGCTAGAAACATCCATGAGAGAGAAACATCGACCAGCTGCCTCCTGCACACCCCCCACCGGGGATGTGCCCGCAACCAAGGTACATGCCCGTGGCCGGAATCGAACCTGGGACCTTCCAGTCCGCAGACCGACGCTCTATCCACTGAGCCACACCGGTTTCGGCCCTGAGCCATGCTTTTTACACTTCTTCTTTTATTTTTATTACCTTTTAAAAATTTGTAAATATATATTAATATATATATGTTACTCCTCATCAAAGGAAACTTTTCCATTGATATATATATATATATATTTTTTTTTTTTTTTTTTTTTGAGAGAGAGAGTGGAAGGGAGACGGAGAGAGACACAGGGAGAGAAACATCAATGTGAGAGAGACGCATCCATGGGTTGCCTCCCACACGCACCCCGACCAGCAGGGCCGGGGAATCGCGCCCTGCTGCCGAGGGATGTGCCCTTGACCGGAATCGAACCCGGGACCCTGCATCCTCGGGCCGACGCTCCATCCACGGAGCCACCCGGCCAGGGCCCACGTCACACTGCGCTGCCCGCCCCTGGCCAGGGCTGCAGGAGCCCCCGAGGGGCCTGACTCAGCAGGGGGGGGGAGGGACCGGGCCAGGGGCAGCGGAGGGAGGGCCCGAAGCCCCTGGAAGTTGGACCCGGGCCGATAAGGGCTCCCCGAGATAAGGGGGCTCACAGTCCACCGCCACTCCTGTTCGCCGGGGAGATAAGGTCTCCCCTCGCAGTGAGGGGTGTCCCTCCTCCTCCTCCTCCTCCTCCGGAGTATCCCAGCGTCCACCTGCTCCCCATCGCGATAGCACATCACCTCCTATCTCCCCCGTGTGTCTGGCTCATCAGAGGATCCCGTCGGGGAAGTACAGTCTCTGGTTCAAGGTCAGGCAGGGGTGGGGAGAGGCTGAGAGGCAACCCTGGGCTCTGCTCCTCTAACAGCCGCCCCTGCTGCCACGCTGGCACCTAACGGGCCGTCTGGAGCGAGGGCTGTGCAGGCCTGCACACGTGTGTCCAGCGCCGATGGAAGGCGGGGTGCGGGCCAGGCCTCCCGGGGTACGCTGAGCGCCCTGAACGTCACGGGAACAGTCAGGGAATATGCCTGGGCACCTCTGCGAGCAGCGCTTAAAGAACCAGAGAGCAGCCGAAACCGGTGTGGCTCAGTGGATAGAGCGTCGGCCAGCGGACTGAAGGGTCCCAGGTTCGATTCCAGTCAAGGGCATGTACCTTGGTGGCGGGCACATCCCCAGTGGGGGGTGTGCAGGAGGCAGCTGATCCATGTTTCTCATCGATGTTTCTAACTCTCTATCCTCCTTTCCTCTCTGTAAAAAATCAATAATAATAATAATAATAATAATAAATAAAAAATAAAAAAAGAACCAGAGAGCAGTCAGGCCGGTGTGCTCAATGGTTGAGTGTCAATCTATGAACCAGGAGGTCACGGTTAGACTCCCGGTGAGGGCACATTTTCAGGTTGTGGGCTCCATCCCCAGTGTGGGCATGCAGGAGGCAGCCTGTCCATGATTCTTTCTCATCATTGAAGTTTCTCTCTCTCTCTCCCTCTCTCTTACCCTCTGAAACCAATTTAAAAAAAAATTTTTTTTAAAGAAAAGGACCAGCCCTGGTTAGTTTTGCTCAGTGGATAGAGTGTCAGCCTGCAGGTTGAAGGGTCCCAGGTTCGATTCCAGTCAAGGGCACATGCCCCAGGTTGCAGAATTGATTCCCAGTGGGGGGCGTGCAGGAGGCAGCCGATCCATGATTCTCTCTCATCTTTAAAAAAAAAAAAAAAAAATATATATATATATATATATATATATATATATATATATATGTATATATTATTGGTTTCAGAGAGAAAGTCAAGGGAGAGAGATGAAACATCCATGATGAGAGAGAACCATGGATCAGCTGCCTCCTGCACGCCCCCCACTGGGGATCGAGCCCGCAACCCGGGCACGTGCCCCGACCGGCAATCAAACCGTGACCTCCCGGTTCATAGGTCAACGCCCAGCCACGGAGCCACGCCGCCGGCCGGCCAGTTCACCTTCGAACTGTGTGTGCCAGGCTCTCAGGACTGGGTGTCAGGCTGCGGGAGAGATTACCGTGGTGTCGGGGGAAGGCCGCCTGATAAGGGAGTCCAGGGTCCACGCTCCCCGAGAGGAGATAAGACCCTCCGCCTGATCGCACCCCCTGGGGCTCAACGCTTTTGACCCCGACGTTGCCACGCTGCTCCCACGGGGCCCCGAACCTTGACCTTGCTCTCCAGGGCCTGTGGTTCCTCTAGACGCCTCCAGGGAAGGTCCTCGCGTGAGCTTGCACCGAGAGCCAGCTGGGGTGTGGACGGAGAGGAGCTGGAATGGGGACAGGGAGGGGCTCCGTGCCCCCCCGACACCCAGCCTGCTGGCCTAACCCTGACCGCGTTTCCTTGTTACAGCGAGAAGCTTCGACCTGCAGAAGTCCGAGGCCATGCTGCGGAAGGTGAGTCACACGTTTGCCTCCGTGTCTACCCCTCGCGCTGGGTGTAAACGTCTTCCGCCCGCCCCGCCCGCCTCCGGCGCGGCCTGTGGTCCGACAGCTCTGAGTGCCAGCCGCTCCCTCTGGGAAAAGTGCGTTTCCTTCTCCGCAAACACGGAGCCCTCCTGGGCCTGGGCTGGCCGGGGATTTTTTTTTTTTTTTTTTTAATATATTTTATTGATTTTTTACAGAGAGGAAGAGAGAGGGACAGAGAGTTAGAAGCATCGATGAGAGAGAGACATCGATCAGCTGCCTCTTGCACACTTTCCACTGGGGATGTGCCCGCAACCAAGGCACATGCCCTTGACCGGAATCGAACCCGGAACCTTTCAGTCCACAGGCTGATCGACGCTCTATCCACTGAGCCAAACCGGTTTCGGCTGCCCGTTGCTTTCTCATGACGCACCCCTTCCTGCTGTCACCCACGATCTAGATGTCTGTTAAGAGGTCTCCCTGTCCTGCTTTCCCTTTTAAAAATAAATAAATAAATAAAAAGAAAACAGAAAATAAATATTTTTATTGATTTTAGAGAGGAAGGGAGAGGGAGAGAGAGATCAGGATGAGAGAGAACCGTTGATCGGCTGCCTCCTGCACGTCCCATCCTGGGGATGGAGCCTGCCACCCGGGCTGTGCCCTGACGGGGAATCGCACTGATGACCTCTCGCTTGCTGGGTCGACGTGCTGCCGCTGAGCCAGGCCAGGCTGGGATCCCTTTTTTAAAGCCCTGATGGTGCCCTCACCGGCTCAGCTCGGTGGATAGAGCGTCGGTCCCAGGTTCGTTCCCAGTCAAGGGCATGTACCTTGGTTGCGGGCACGTCCCCAGTAGAAGGTGTGCAGGAGGCGGCTGATCGGTGTTTCGCTCACATCGTTGTTTCTGACTCTCTCTCCCTCTCCCTTCCTCTCTGTAAAAAAAATCAATAAAATATATATATATTTAAAAACAAAATAGACAATAAAGCCCTGACTGTGTGTTGGCAGCACGTGGAGTTCCGGAAGCAGAAGGACATCGACAACGTCCTGACCTGGCAGCCACCAGAGGTGAGACAGAGGCTCCTGGCCCGTGTCCTGGGTCTGCGGGCCCGGAACCCCGGAGCAAGCTCTGGCTGTGCCCGTGGGCCCCCGTGCTGCCCGGGGAGGGTGCCCGTGGGCCCCCGTGGTGCCCGGGGAGGGTGCCCGTGGGCCCCCGGGTGCAGGCAGTGCAGGGAGAGCCCGGGGCACCCGAGGGAGGCCCTGGGGAGCGGGGAAGGCGCCTGCCCCCGCCGGCTGACGGGGCGCCTCCTCCGTCTCCACCCAGGTGGTCCGGCTGTACCTGTCCGGGGGCATGTGTGGCTACGACAAGGAGGGCTCTCCCATCTGGTACGACATCGTGGGGCCCCTGGACGCCCGGGGGCTGCTCCTCTCGGCCACCAAGCAGGACCTGCTCAAGACCAAGATGCGGGACTGCGAGCGGCTGGTGCAGGAGTGCCACAGCCAGACGGCCAAGGCGAGTGGGCGCGCCGACCGGGGACGGGCGGTTGGTCGGCCACGCGGCCGCAGGGACGTCGCCCGGGGACTCACCCACGGCTTCAGGGCGGAGGCCTGGCCTCTGGAGGGCGTGGGCCACCGACATTTCCAACGCTTCGGGACTGACCTATGTTGCCAAATTTTTATTTTTCCCGGGAAGGACTTAAAAATAATTTAAAAATATATATATTTTATTGATTTTTTTGCAGAGAGGAAGGGAGAGGGAGAGAGAGTGAGAAACACTGATAAGAGAGAAACATCGATCAGCTGCCTCCTGCATGCCTCCCACTGGGGATGTGCCTGCAACCAAGCTACATGCCTTTGACCAGAATCAAACCTGGGACCTTTCAGTCCGCAGGCCGATGCTCTATCCACTGAGCCAAACTGGTTTTGGCTGTTTTGGTTTTAAATACATTTTTTATTGATTGCACAGAGGTAGGGAGAGGGAGAAACATCCTCGATGAGAGAGAACCATTGGGTCAGCTGCCGCCTGCACGCCCCACCCTGGGGATCGAGCCGCCCCCTGGGCATATGGCCCCCGACCGGGAATCGAACCGGGACCTCCTGGTTCACAGGTGGACGCTCAACCGCTGAGCCACGCGGGCCGGGCACGAGCTCTAGGCCTTTGGGGAAGGGAGACACCAAGCACACTTGGTCTGGGGCAGAGGGGAGGCCTCCCTCAGCCCGGCGCTGTGGCTAAGAGCAGCCGGATGGAGCCGGGCAGCACCGGTCCAGGCCGGCGGGACAGCGCTGAGCGAAGGCCTTGCATGCCAAGGCACAGGCCGCTGCCGAGTGCCCGGCGGGGGACGGCAGAGCCTGCAGAGGGAGCGGGGAGCAGCTGGGCAGGGCCCTGCCTGCATCCCCACATCCGGCTGCCGTGTGAGCGTGTGATGCCATCAGCATTGGCCCTGAGCCGGGTGGGCCCCGGGGGCGGGAGCCTGCGGTGACGTTGCGCCCCCTGTGCCCTGCAGCTGGGGAGGAAGATCGACAGCATCACCATGATCTACGACTGCGAGGGCCTGGGCCTCAAGCACCTCTGGAAGCCGGCCGTGGAGACCTACGGGGAGGTGAGGGGCCGGACGGGGGGGGGGGGGGGGCGTGGGGGGGAGCATAGGGGAGTGGCCCCTCTGCTGGGATGCCATGTGGGTGGCAGAGGCGATGGGGGCACAGGCTGGCCCCGAGGTCTGTGCCCACAGACACGCCGCTTTGTCCCCGCAGTTCCTGTGCATGGTGGAGGACAATTACCCCGAGACCCTGAAGCGCCTCTTTGTCATCAAAGGTAAGTGGGGGCCTCCGCCTGAGGAAGTGGGGGGGCAGGATTGGAGAGTGACACCTGGGAGCCGGAGCAGGGAAGCGGGAGGCCCTGGGCGTGTGCAGGCGGCTTTCCAGGGTCCGCTCGGCGTTTAGGGCGCACCGGTGCCTCCCGGCCAGCCAGGGGGTGGGGCAGAGACCCACTGGACTCTGCCCGCCGTGCAGAGGGCGAAGCTGGCAATGGACGCGGAGCCCGCGCTGAGCCTCACGCCCCGGCAGCCACGTGGGCTCCAGGGCGCCGGGGCCCGTGCAGGCCGACCCGGGCGCCCGGGGCGACGCTGTCTGTCGGGGACAGAGCAGGCGCTGCCTCCAGCCTCACTCGCGCCGTCTGTCGGCCTCTGTTCCAGCCCCCAAGCTGTTCCCCGTGGCCTTCAACCTGGTCAAGCCTTTCCTGAGCGAGGAGACGCGCAAGAAGATCCATGTCCTGGGAGGTGAGCGGCCGGCCTGCGGCCCCGGCGCCAGGGTGGCGTTAGCGGGGGTCCCTGGCCACCGGGGCGGACGGTCCGGCTGCTGCTCCGGTGGCAGTGTGGCCCGGGAGCAGGCTGGGGCTGGGCTGGGGTCTTCATGTCCGTTTTCTCTCTTTTAAGCGTACTTTATCCAATTATTGTTCAGCCTCACCCGAGGATCTTTTTTTCCATTGACTTTTAGAGAGAGGGGGAGAGAAAGAGAGAGAGAGAGAGAGAAACATCGATGGGCTGTCTCCAGCACAGGCCCCAACCGGAGCCGTGGGACATGCCCTTGAACGGAATCGGACCCGGGACCCTTGAGTTTGTGGGCAGACACGCTATCCACTGGGCCAAACCGGCCAGGGCTTCACATCGGCTTCCATAAGAGCCTTTCTCTCAGACAGTGTAGCCCAGTGGTCGGCAACCTCATTTGTCAGCAGAGCCAAATATCCACGGTACAACGACTGACATTTCTTTGGAGAGCCAAAATTTTTTTTAAAAAATATATTTTATTGGTTTTTTGCAGAGAGGAAGAGAGAAGGATAGAGAATTAGAAACATCGATGAGAGAGAATCATCGATCAGCTGCCTCTTGCACACCCCCTACTGGGGATGTGCCCGCAACCAAGGTACATGCCCTTGACCGGAATCGAACCCGGGACCTTTCAGTCCGCAGGCGGACGCTCTATCCACTGAGCCAAACCGGTTTCAGCTGGAGAGCCACATTTTTTAAACGTAAACTCATTCTAATGCCACTTCTTCAACACAGACCGCCTGAGCCACCCTCGAGGGGGCAGAGAGCCGCCTGTGGCTCGAGAGCCGCGGGTTGCCGACCACGGGCCTAGGAGAAGGTGGTAGACTCAGCATCGTAGGTTCAAAGGTGAATGCCGTGCCAGGCATTGCGGCCGGGAGCTTACCGAGCAGCCGGGGAGAGAGACCTGGGGGAGGACGGATGACACAGCTAGAAGAGGCGCTCGCCGTGGCCCGGAGAAGGAGCCGCGGGTCACGGGAGCAGAGGTTCCCTGTAGCCGGGGGGGCCGGCTGAGAGCCCTTAGCGGGTGCCAGGCCCCGGACGAGGCGCCAGGGCTGCGAAGGTGAATTGGCCCCAGTCCCTTGCGGCGCCCCAGGCCTCTGGGGGCGGGGAGTCACCGGGACACTGGATCTGGGGAGGAGGTGAGGCCTGGAGCTCTAAGAGGAGCCGGGTGTTCCCGGCAGAGGGAACAGCATTGGGCAAAGGCCTCCTGCCCCATGGCACCGGCAGCTTAGAGTGCAGGGCAGGGGATGAGGCTGAGGAGGGAACCGGGAGCCTGGGCTGGGGGGCTGGGCCGCGGCCCTGCAGGCCACGGAGTCCGAGGGGAGCACTGAGCAGGGAGCACCGGGGAGATGGTGGAGGGCAGATGCCTGCTGGCCTCGGTGGCCACAGCCCAGGCGGCAGGTGTTGCGAGCCGGGGCGGGGGCACTGGGGGCGGTGGGGGCGGTGGGGAGAGGCGCGGAGGGTGGCCCGGGGCCTTCTCCGGGAAGTCACACGGCAGAGCTCAGACAATGGGGCAGAGGAAGGAGGAAGGGGAACCGAGAATGACGTCCTCGTGTCTGGCGTGAGTTGTCTGCCCGGTGCGATCGCTCTGACGCAACGAGGTCGATGGAGGAAGGCGGGGGAAGAGTGAGCTGGAGGCTGAGCTTCAGGAGGGTGTGAGAGCCCAGCCCGTGTGGCTCAGAGGGTGAGCATTGCCTATGAACCAGGAGGTCAAGGGCACCTGCCCGCTTGCGAGCTCAGTCCCCAGTGTGAGGTGTGCAGGAGGCAGCCGATCGGTGATTCGCTCTCAATCACGGATGTTTCTCTCTTTCTCTCCCTCTCCCTCCCTCTCTGACATCAATTTAAAAAACACAAACATTAAAAAAACAAAAAAGAGCTAAAACCGGTTTGGCTCAATGGATAGAGCATCGGTCTGCGAACCGAAAGGTCCCGGGTTCGATTCCGGTCAAGGGTATGCACCTTGGTTGCAGGCACATCCCCAGTGGGGGGCGTGCAGGAGGCAGCTGACCTGTGATTCGCTCTTATCGACGTTTCTAGCTCTCTATCCCTCTCTTCCTCTCTGTAAAAAATCAATAAAATATATTAGAGAGAGGGAGAGAGAGAGAGAGAGAGAGAGAGAGAGAAGAGAGAGAGAGACCCTGGGGATACTTGAGCCTGAAGCTGAGGGAGAGCTCCCGCCTGGGGCTGTGGGAGCCGTCCAAGGCAGGCAGCAGTGAGGACCTTGAGGACAGAAGGCTGCCCCCCAGGAGAGCAAGCTGAGCGCTGGGGGCAGCCAAGCTGGAGGGCAGCAGAGGGAGAGGAGCCCAGCGGGGAGACCGAGGCGCGATTGATCGATGGATTGATCGATGGATTGATCGTGGAGGTGGACAGAGGAGCAGGTGGGCAGGGCTGGGGCTTGTAAGGAGGCGGGGCACTCGGGGGGCCCTCGGGGGGCACTCGGGGCTCAGGGGGACCCCAGCAGCCAGGGCCCGGCCAGGAGCTGGTGTCGCCGGAGCAGGAAGCGCAAGCGCGGAGGAGGAAGGGACCAGAAGGCCAGCTCGGGACTCGGCCGATCCCGGAGACTCGGGGCCACCTCTGGGCGCGGCGTGGGCCACGGGACCCGGCGGTTTCTCAATGTTCACCTTCAGGCGACACGTGGCCGGTGGAGAATGGCCAAGTGTGTGCGGGCGAGGCCGGGCGCGGGGGGGGCGGTCGGAGAGCCGGGGCTTCTGGGCTTTGGCCTGGGCCCTGCCTCTGGTCGCCTCAGTGCCTCTCCCTGCAGGACGGGAAGGGTCCCCCACCCACCGCCCTCTGCCCTGAGCTGGGGGAGACCTGCAGCATCTCCCCCAAGGCTCGGCGGTTCTGGCTTCTGGGCTGTCCACACACACACACACACCACACACACACACAAACATACACACATACACACACACTCACACACAAACATACACACATACCACACTCACACACAAACATACACACATACCACACACACACACACACACACCCACACACACACACACACACACACACAAACACACACACACCACACACACACACAAACACACACACACACCACACACACATACACAAACACACACACACACCACACAGACACACACACACCACACACATACCACACACACACACACACACACGCACACACACGCACACACGCACACACGCACACACACACCCGGGAGGTTTCCTGGCAGCCCGGCGTGTCCTCCCACCCACACCTCACACCCGGGCTCTTGGCCGGGCGGGAAGACAGGTGCCGTCACCCCGAGACCACAGGGGCCCGCCGTCCCCGGCTGCCAGGCCCCGGCCGGCCGCGGTGGGCGCCCATGGGCCTCGGTGGGCGCCCAGGGGCCGCGGTGGGCGCCCAGGGGCCGCGGTGGGTGCGCGGGGGCCGCGGTGGGTGCCCGGGGGCCGCGGTGGGCGCTCGGGGGCCGCGGTGGGCGCCCGGGGGCCGCGGTGGGTGCTCGGGGGCCGCGGTGGGCGCCCATGGGCCTCGGTGGGCGCCCGGGGGCCGCGGTGGGTGCGCGGGGGCCGCGGTGGGTGCCCGGGGGCCGCGGTGGGCGCTTGGGGGCCGCGGTGGGCGCCCGGGGGCCGCGGTGGGCGTCCGGGGGCCGCGGTGAGGAGTCCGGGGGCCGCAGTGGTGAGTCCGGGGGCCGCAGTGGGCGTCCGGGGGCCGCGGTGGGGAGTCCGGGGCCGCGGTGGGCGTCCGGGGCCGCGGTGGGGAGTCCACGGGCTGCACCGTGACCCGGAGCGGTCACCCCGCGGCTCCTGGTGTCAGCGGGACAGGCTGCCGCTGTCACAATATTGTTCTTGGCCGGCGCCCGGCGGACTTTGGGACGGCGGGGCCGTGGGCTGCGGCATCGGTGGCCCTAGAGCCGCGGTCGGCAAGCTCCCTCTCTCCCTCTCCCGTCCTCTCTGACATCAACGAAAAGAAACACATTAAAAAAACAAGTCAGCAGAGCCAGAGCAGCAGGACGACGATCGACATTTCTCTGGAGAGCCACATTTTTTAAACGTAAACTGTCTAGGTGGGTGCATTGTTATGAACTTGATGAGGGCACTCCTAAGCCGGCCTTTGCTAAAAGCTCCAGGGGCCAAAGAGCCGCATGTGGCTCGAGAGCCGCGGTTTTCCGACGGCTGACCTAGCGTCAAACTTTTCTAGTCAGGAAAGGGCTGGTTACAAAAAAAAAAGACCCAATGATTGGCAGCTAAATGGTCTAAAAAAACAAACAAACCAGGAGCAGATGTGAAATCCTGGCCGGGGTCGCCCCACGGGGATGCGTGCGCTCCCTCAGTCACAGCCAAGCACGCCGAGTGTCGCAGGAACGGGGGTGGGGCGGGGAGGTGCGCCGTGTGCCGCACAGGCTGTTCCCGCCCAGGGCGTGCCCTCCCTCCTGCTCAGTGCTCCCGGTCGCACTGCCGACGTGTGCACCCCTCCCCGGAGGGATGGGCCATCTCCCACGGGCGAGCCACCCTCTCACGGTCACTTCACGCCCACAGGACCTGGCCCCAGGCAGTGGGGACCCAGGTCCCTGACTCAGGGCAGGGCAGTCCTCAGCGCCAGGGCTGCCCCTGCACAGGGGAATGTGCTGTGGGCACGTGGGTGCTCCGAACGCCTGTGTTTTTTGGGGGGTTGGGGGAGAGGACGGATGGTTGTTGACTTTTCCCTGCCTCTTTTTAAAAAAATATATATTTTATTGATTTTTTTACAAAGAGGAAGGGAGAGGGATAGAGTTAGAAACATCGATGACAGAGAAACATCCATCAGCTGCCTCCTGCATACCCCCCTACTGGGGATGTGCCCGCAACCAAGGTACATGCCCTTGTCCAGAATCGAACCCGGGACCCTTCGGTCCGCAGGCCAACGCTCTATCCACTGAGCCAAACCGGTTTCAGCTTCCATGCCTCTTTGGTGTAGACTGTGGTGACCCTTCTCTCTCCCTCCATCCCTCCCTCCCCCGCCAGCAAACTGGAAGGAAGTTCTGCTGAAATACATCAGCGCCGACCAGGTGCCCGTGGAGTATGGGGGCACCATGACCGATCCCGATGGGAACCCCAAGTGCAAATCCAAGGTATGGGGGTCCCCCGGGGGGGGGGGGGCTGGAGGTGACCGGTGACCGGGCAGGCCGGCCCCCCATGCGCACCCAGGCTCACGGCATGCTCCGTCTCCAGATCAACTGGGGGGGCGACATCCCCAAGACCTACTACGTGCGGGACCAGCTGAAGCAGCAGTACGAGCACAGCGTGCAGATCTCCCGCGCCTCCTCCCACCAAGTGGAGTACGAGATCCTCTTCCCCGGCTGCGTGCTCCGGTAGGCGGATTCCGGATCCTTCCCGGCGGGTCCGGTGGGGAGCGGCCCCGGGGCGGGGGGGCCCCCCCCCCCCGAGGTTCCCCGATGGCGTCCTGAAAGGCGCCGTCCCCCCCCGCCCGCAGGTGGCAGTTCGCGTCGGAAGGCTCAGACATCGGCTTCGGCATCTTCCTGAAAACGAAGATGGGGGAGCGGCAGAAGGCGGGCGAGATGACCGAGGTGCTGCCCAGCCAGAGGTACAACGCCCACCTGGTGCCCGAGGACGGCAGCCTCACCTGCAGCACCGCCGGCATCTGTAAGTGTCCCCATCCTGCCGCCCGGGCGGCCCCTCTCCCTCCAGACACGGGGGCTCTCGGCCGTGAGAGCTGCAGGCGGAATCCCCTCCGAGGGACCCTCCCCTGCACAGGAGGGGAGACCTGGGGCGCGGGCAGGCGGCCTGTCTTGCTCCACAGCGGGGTTCGTGGCTGTTGACGGCAGGGTGGGACTCTCGCCCGGTCCTACCCGGTACCAGTGAGTCACAGGCCTGGGTGATGACAGGGGACCGTTTCCTGTCTGGTCCAGGCCCAACTGGGATTGTGGCTGTGATCAGACACCTCTTGGGAATTCCTCCCCACACGTCAGAGAGGCGGGACCGGCTGGCGGGGGGCAGGAGGGGGCAGCAGGGTCCGGGAAAGCCCCGCCTCAACCCCTCGGAGCGTCCCTCGTCTCCAGGGCGCACAGCAGGTGGACAGGAAGTTGGATTCAGGAGGCGTAAGGATGGGAGGTGGGCGTTTGAGAAGGCATCGCACCTCTTGACGATATTGGTGAACATCCCCTTGGACTCGGCAATTCTACATCTAGAAGTTTATTTTAAAATATATTTTATTGATTTTATTTTATTTTATTTTTTTTTTTTTTACAGAGAGGAAGGGAGAGGGAGAGAAAGTTAGAAACATCGATGAGAGAGAAACATCAATCAGGTGCCTCCTGCACACTCCCCCCACTGGGGATGTGCCCGCAGCCAAGGTACATGCCCTTGACCAGAATCGAACCTGAGACCCTTCAGTCCGCAGGCCGGCGCTCTATCCACAGAGCCACACCGGTTAGGGCTCTACGTCTAGAAATTTAAGGTGACAGAGCTACCGACACAGAGATACAAAGATGTAGGATGTGACCAGCAACATGCTGTAAGAAACTACACTGAGTGGCCAGATGATTATGATCTCTGGACGCATTATTATCTGGCCACTCAGTGTCTATCCTATAGAAGAAAAGGCTAATATGCAAATTGTCCCCTCAACTGGGAGTTCGACCAGTAGGCAGGCCGGCCAACCGTCCATGTCCCCTCCCCCTGGCCAGGCTGGCCGGACCCCACCCATGCACGAATTCATGCACCAGAGCCCTAATATATATATAAGCACTGAGTGACCAGATTATTATGCGTTCAGAGATCATCATCTGGCCACTCAGTGAATATCAATGCTCTGTCTATAGCAGAACTGGTTTCCTGAAACGTTGTGTCAGAGCTCAGGGGTTAGGCGTGGAAAACCAGTGGGTTAACCCTGACAGCTAACTAGTCCTCCTCCAGCAGGTGACTCACCAACCTTCCTGGGCTTCTGTGTCCTGATGGCCGTGATGGGGATCCGGCTCCCTCCCTCGGAGGGCGTGTGACACGGTCGAAGTAGCCCTTAGCGTGATGCCTGGGACACGGCGGGCCCTCCACACGTCTCACCCACCGCTGTCGGCATCAGGGCGGGACCTGGGGGAGGAGGGCCGTCCTGGAGACAGAGCCGCGGGCGGGAGGAGCCCTGGGCTCCCTCTCCATGGCAACGCCACCAGGGTCTCCGCCGGGCAGCTCTCCTGGCCTCGGTGCCTGTCTGTACACCGGCACCCCAACCTCAGGCTCTGTGTCCTCGCCCACATCCCGGTGGCTCCAGTCTCTGCAGCCACCTCCTCCCTGATGCTCTGTGATGCGGCTCCCCCGGGAGGAGAGTCCTTGTCAGCGAGCAGCTGGGGCCCGGGCGGGAGCAGGCATAGACTGTACGTGAGCTTCAGCAAGAACAGGCTCGGCACCGGCTGGGATACGCCATCCACAGAGCATATGTCACCTTGTACATAGACACTTGACTTTCTTTCTTTAGAAAAACACACACACCTTTTGGCTCAGTGGATAGAGCATCGGTCTGCGGACTGAAAGGTCTCAGGTTCGATTCCGGTCAAGGGCATGTACATTGGTTGCGGGCACATCCCAGGAAGGGGGTGTGCAGGAGGCAGCTGGTCCATGTTTCTCTCTCAGCGATGTTTCTAGCTCTCTATCCCTCTCCCTTCCTCCTCTCCCTTCCTCTCTGTAAAAAATCAATAAAATATATTTTAATATATATATTATTGATTTTTTACAGAGAGGGAGAGGGATAGATTTTCCCCTTTTTATTTATTAAGGTATTATATGTATATATTTGTTACCATTGACCCCCCCCTCCACTCCCATACATGTCCTCACCCCCGTGTTTTGCATCCATTGGTTATGCTTGTACGCACGCATACACGTCCTTCGGCTGATCTCTCATCTCCCCGAGTCCTGTCCCTTTAGAAGCATCACGTGTCGCCATTAATACGCAGGACATGCACACACACACATCCATTCACGCCTGTCATCCAGTGTATGACGGGAGGAATCTCCGACACTGTAACGCCTGTCACAGGGTCTGAGGAACATTCCTTTCCTGCAAGAGCAGGCGTGTTCGGGACGGCACGGCCCCATGTGAAAGCCTGCCTCTGGGACAGGCGCCCGGGCAGTATCCCCCGGGAGCGCTGGGCGTGCAGGCTGTCAGAGCAGCAAAGGCCGAAGTCGTTTTGATAATCTGTATGAGCCCAGATGTCACCACCGATTCGTCCTGTTCTGCAACTTTTACTTTTATTTTACTTATTTTTTTTTTTTTTTTTGGCCAGAGGATAAACTGTGGACATTCCCCCCAGGCACTTCGTAGGAGGACTGACTTCTTCCTCTTCCCATCAGTGTTTCACCACACGGGTTGCAATAGAAACCTTTGAGGCCGTTCTGCTTAGGACACTGGAGCTTTCCCACGCCTTCCGTCTCCCCATCGGGGGTGCCAGGCACACCTCCGCCGGGTGTATTCCGGGGGGCACACACACGCCTGCTTCAGAACGTCCGCACCGTCCACCCTCCGTCAGACACGGGCCGGGCAGGGCTGTCCCGGGCCCACGTCAGGCAGAGGGGAATTCCGGTTCTGTCACGTCCCCGCCGTGTGACACAGGGACCTCCTGCTGTAGGGGATGCAAGACGGGACTCATGCTGAACTCAGGGTTATTTTGAGAAATAGGGAAGTAGCACCTATCAGTCTCAGCCCGGTGCTGACTCACTGAACAAGCAATCCTTACCATGCCTCTGATGGCTGTAATGACTGCTGCTGCTATGCATGCTGCTCCTCACTTTTTTTATTTAATCTTTTTAAAAATATATATATTTTATTGATTTTTTTTTTTTTTTTTTTTACAGAGAGGAAGGGAGAGGGATAGAGAGTTAGAAACATCGATCAGCTGCCTCCTGAACACCCCCGACTGGGGATGTGCCCGCAACCAAGGTACATGCCCTTGACCGGAATCGAACCTGGAACCTGTCAGTCCGCAGGCTAAAACTCTATCCACTGAGCCAAACCGGTTTTGGCTGCTCCTCACTTTTACTGATTGCAGAGAGGAAGGGAGAGGGAGTCAGAGACAGAAACATCCATAATGAGAGAGAATCATCGATCGGCTGCCTCCCGCACAATTCCCCACTGGGGATCCAGCCCGCAGCCCGGGCATGGGCCCCGTCCGGGAATCGAACCAGGATCTCCAGGTTCCTAGGTCGCGGATCAAACCGCTGGGGCTCTACTCCTCACATTCAGGGCCCAGTTTAAGCTCTAACTCCTCTAAGAGGCCTCTCGCATAATTTCACTCCGCAGGGCGCTCTCTGTCCCCGCTTTTATTTTAATATATATATATATATTCTTCCTTTTCCCATCAGTGTTTCTCCACACGGGTTGCAATAGAAACCTTCTAAGCCGTTCCCCTTAGGACCCTGGAGCTTTCCCACGCGTCCCAGACGCTTTTAGCGATTCTCACTCACTCACCTGGCACCTGGCCTGTGCTAGGGCACACCTTGTCCATCCCGGTAGACGGCTTTGCAGGAGGCGAAGGGCCACTGCGTACGCTCCCACCCTCCTCAGTGCCGCCCCCTGGCCGTGCCTGGTCCGCGAAGCTCGCTGTTCCCCCCTCCATACCCCCCTCCCCCCGCCCTTGGCCAGGATGGCCTCAGTGTCCTGTTTTCTGCCTCCCCTTAGATGTCCTGCGGTTTGACAACACCTACAGCTACATTCACGCCAAGAAGGTCAGCTTCACCGTGGAGGTCCTGCTTCCGGACAAGGCTTCCGAGGAGAAGATCCAGCAGCTGGGGGCGGGCACCCCGAAGTAATGCCTCCCCCCGCCGCCGCCGGCCTGGCCCCCCTCGGTGTCTCCCCGTCCGTTTCCATCCCCTGTCGCAGCCATGTTCCCAAGCGCCCCGAGGCCCAAAGGAACCGGGGCTGGAAGAAGGACCCCAGCTTGGATCTGGGGAGTTTCCATTTCAGGATTAGGAAGAGGGAGCAGAGCTGGAGGGGGGATCTCCTGGCCTTTCAAGGGGCTGGGCACTGCGATGGGACCTGTTTGTCCTAAAAACGGTGCCGACAGCACACCCACCTGTGACAGAAAGGGGGTCCCATGGGGTGGCGGCAGGGAAGAAATCGGAAAAGGGGAGAGACTGAAACCGTAACATTTCCAGCGAGGCCAGCAGCAGGGGAGAGGAACTTGCAACCAAATGAAGAATCCGTGTAAGCCTAGATCATAACGAGCAGCAGCAGCAAGGAGTTGCTGGAGTCAGAGGCGCTTCCGAACTCTATCACTGAGGCTGGGGTCTTGGGGTCCCCCCACCCCCTCCTCCCCACCGTCTGCACAGAGCTTCCCTCTCAGGGGTACACACAGGCAGGGCTTCCCCCCACCTTGAGGACTTCAGCAACTCCGGGGCCTCTGCGGCTGCTGATTTAATTACTGATGATTGTCATTGATTCAGAGCTTCCGGGACAGCGAGCTTGGGGACCCCGCCACTGTCCTCCGATGCAAACACAGCGCAGGGAATTACCTCCAGGGGTCCCAGCTCTGGGGAGGGAAGGGAGGCCCGGGGTGGGTGCGAGCCCTGAGGCTTCCAGCCTCCCATGGAGCAACGCTTCATGTGTGGGGTGCCCACACAGAAATGGCAGGTGGGATCCAGACAGAACTCAGTGAGGGCATTTGTCAGTCCGAGCCTTCCAAGGTGCCCGTCGACCCTCCCATCTCCAGGAGAGGTGTATGGCGGGTGCCATGGGCTCCTAGTGCCTGGTGGGCAGGCGGCCCAAGGCAGGGCCAGCAGCTTCTGGGAGAGCCAGGGGCTGGGGCCGCCCCACCACAAACAGCCTCGCAGGCCCTGGGCCCCTCCACCCACGGCGGCCAGCAGGGATGGCCATGTGGCCGCTCAGCGACAGGGAGCTGGAGGGCAAGGACCCTTCGAGCAGCCATAGCACTTATCCCAATCCTTCGTCCTGCAAACAAATGCAAACCAGGTCCTGGGCTGCAGAGAGGCACAGGACACGGGAAGGCAGCCCGGCCTGGGGAGCTGGTCTGGCGAAGCGGGAGGGAGCAGCAGGAGGAGGGGGGCGGGGGTCCCCCTGAGCCCGCATGGGCCCCAGCCAGAGCCCTCAGGAGGACATCCCGACCTTGGTTTACAACGCTCTGTTAGGGAAATTAACCAATGAATAAAAAGCAACGTTCAATGCACACCGAGTGGAGGTGCATGCGTACCGCCTCGTTCTTTGCTGCTCGCTCACGCACCACCCAGAGAGCCAGCCCTGCGCGCAGCGGCGACACGGACCCGCCCTGGGGCGGCGCGCGTGCGCAGAAGCCGCCCTCCGCGCTTCTCCGGCGTGCGCTTTCTGGCGCCCCGCGGCCAACTCGCCTCCTGATTGGCCTTCCCAGTGGGCTGTCTTCCGCCATCTTTGCTAAGGGCACTCAGGGTGCTCTGGGCGCCTTCACTGTCAGGGCGGAAACCCCGCCCCACCCTGGTTTCCCGGAGCCAGGCGGTCCTTGCAAGCCGACACACACACACGTGGGTCTGGCGAGCGCCCCGGTGCCCGCGGTGGGCCCGAGGAGGGAGGGGGGAGGGAGGCGGGGGAGGAGCGGTCACGTGGCGTTAGGGACCGTCTCCTAATTCTGCGCTCTCGCTGCCGGTGATGGGGAGGCAGAGACCGGGACGTTCAGGGGCCTGGGCATCCGTTTGAGCGCTGAGCCCAGGCTGCTGGGCACGACCCCGCAGAGACAGAGACGGCGACGCCCGGGGCTGAAAATGGGACCCTCAGCAGGGAGTCGGGAGACTTCATTTCCCCCAGTGTTGTTGTGTGATAATAAAAGCGAAGAAATCAACCGAAGGATTTATATGCATGCATAGAAGTATCACCAATGGACACAAAACTCTGGGGAGGGAGGGCATGGATGGGAGTGGCAGGGGTGGGGGTGGAGGGGACAATGGTAAGATATGTACACAGATAATAATTTAATAAAAAAATAAATTGAAAAAAAAGCGAATGCTTTAAAGAACGCCTCCTGGGTACCACACACCTCTGTCCTTACGGAGAAATCATGTGTGCAGAGCGCTTGGAAGAGAGCCCGGCACACGTCAGCACACAATAAATATTAGATAAATACTATCTTTTTTTTTTTTTTTTACAGCCGTGGCTAACAGGTAACAGGACTGCCTGTCTTTTATGGCTGTGTCTTTGCTTGCTCTGCTCCCTCCCCCACCTCCAAAAAGATTCACGAAGCTGCACTCCTTGCTCACACGGGTAAACTGAGGTTCCGCAGGGGAAGAGTTCCCTCCTTGGTCATCCCTACCCCCCCCCCCCAGCCTCCTCATTCTATTCTGCTCATTTCCCTGAAGTCCTGCACCCCAATCCTGGTTCCCTGGCCTCGTGATTCATTCATTCATTCATTCAATCATTCAATCATTCAATTATTCAATCATTCCTTCCTTCCTTCCTTCAGGGTCCTGTCCCCCAGGGGTTCTGTCTCGTCTTCATCCTGATCCAGTGTGGATGTCGGTGCTGACGGGATCATGGCAACTCGGGAAGGGACTTGGGAGCCCAAGTATCCATCCGCCAGGGTGCCCCCCACCCTCACTCTCCCTGGCACCTGGATTGAGAGGTCCTAAGAGCTCAGGATCTGAAGCCAGTCCCGGGACAGTGCCCCATCTTCTCTGAGCCTCTGTCTCCTCATTTGTAAAGTGGGGGGTCCCGGGTGGAGGGGAGGGTTTGAGGAAGCCATCTGTCTGTAGAGTCTTTTCCCCGTCAAGTCTTTAGCTGTGAGTCTCTGGCCAACAAACAGTCTGGCCGGCAGTCAACACAGCCCAAGACGGCTTTGTTATTCGTCCTTGTTGTCCCAGGAGGGGTGGGGGGGGGTCCCAGATTAAGAAATGAATCAAGTGAGGCTCCAAGTACAAAGGGACCAGGCGTCCCGCTTTTGGCGGGACTCGTCCCGATTTTTTTTTTTTTTTTTTTTTTTACAATAGTCCAAGCCGGACAGAAGCCTGAGGTCACACACGGTGACGTGCGGCCGGGAGGGACGGGATCCCCCATTGGAACGCCGGCCTCTGTGGTCCTTAGAGGGGTGCCTGCCGGCCCTCGAACCCCCAGAAATAACGGGACGGACCCTGCCCCCTCCCGGCCGGGGAGAGGGGCTCCGGCGCGGGGGAATTTACAGACGCTCCCTGCGCTGGGTGACGGCACCACCTGTCCGTCCTTCAGTCCGTCCGCTGCCTCGGACTGAGACCGGAGGGCCCGGGGGAGCTGACGCGGCCGAGGGGGCTGGACCGGCCGCCGGGGCCGCCGGGGCCGCCGGGGCCGCGGAGGGGCCATGTCCGAGCCGCCCCCGCGGGGCGCTGAGCGCGACCTGTACCGGGACACGTGGGTGCGGTACCTGGGTGAGCGCGGGGCAGGGTCACCGGCGGCGCGGGGACTCCCCCGCCCCGCAGCGCGGGGAGCAGGGCTCACTGGTTAACGGTTCCTAGGCCGGTTCTGGTCCCGGAGCAGGCGGAGGGATCTTAGTTCTCAGATCCCCCTCAATCAGACCAGAGATGGGGCTCAGAGAGGGTTAGGGACTTGCCCAAGGTCACACAGCTCCGGGTGGCCCAGCCCTGCCTTTTGGGGTTGGAAGGGGAGGACGGGGGAGGTGGGGGGGGAGTCTCTGCTGGTCCTGTCTCCCAGATCGAAGCTCAGGCCCTCCTTGGAGGCATGGGGTGAACAGGTGGCCTTCTCGGACATGGCTGGAGCCCGAGGTCCTGGACCCCTCTCCCCGCTTCTCCCTGGCTCTGCCCGAGCTCAGCTTCCTCCTGGGCAAACAGGGACGGACGCAGGCAGGGCCTCTCTCACCAGCTGGTGGTTGTGAGGGCACAGGAAGGCCTGGCACCAGGTGAGTGCCCTCGGTCAGTGCCCTCGGTCAGTCAGTGGCTGCCTGCTCCCCTCCATTCACGCAGAAGCTTCCAGCATCCGGACTGGGAAGGCAGCCCAGTGAGTGATCGTGGTGACTGCCCTCGGCTCTCCCACGGTGGCCCTAGCCTGGAGGTGGGCATCCCTGGGTGGCCGTTTTCTAGGATCAGAGAGACCCGACCAATCCCATGCCCAAGGTCATCCTCCTCCAGCTTCCGTGGTGCCGGCTGGGGCCGGAGTGCCCCCTGGTGGAACAATGGCTGCTGCTCCCGGGATTAAATGTCCCCTTTCCTCCGTCCAGGCTACGCCAATGAGGTGGGGGAGGCCTTCCGCTCCATGGTGCCCGCGGCCGTGGTGTGGCTGAGCTATGGGGTGTCCAGCTCCTACGTGCTGGCTGACGCCATCGACAAGGGCAAGAAGGCAGGAGAGGTGAGTGCGAGCCTGCCCCTCAATACCCACCCCCCCAGGCCATCGCCCGGGAGGGCCAGTCCACAGCCTTGCACGGGGTACCCTCACTGTGGCAAAGCATGCGGGCAGCCCCTTCCCAGTCCTGTTTGTGGGGTAGTGTACCCCCTCCCCGGCCCCAGCCCTGCCTGTGGACAGGTCTACCCCCAGCACGGAATGTGGCATATGGTACAGTCCAGATCCCAATACTCAATCCTAGCGGGGTTGCCAAAACCGGTTTGGCTCAGTGGATAGAGCGTCCGCCTGCGGACTGAAGGGTCCCAGGTTCGATTCTGGTCAAGGGGATGTACCTTGGTTGCTGGCACATCCCCAATAAGGGGTGTGCGGGAGGCAATTGATCGATGTTTCTCTCTTATGGATGTTTCTAGCTCTCTGTCCCTCTCCCTTCCTCTCTGTAAAAAATCAATAAAATATATATATTTTTATAAAATACTAGCGGGGTTTGTCCCAGCTCCCCTTCCCCTCTCCCCCTCCACCCTCCTTCCCCTTGCACTCCCCCTCCCCCTACTTCCCTCAGCCTCAGGCCACAGGGTTCCCTGGCTCTGCCGCCGCCCGTCGCTGAATCCAGTTTCTCTTGTGCCCACCAAGGCGCCAAGCCCCGAAGCCGGCCGCAGCACCCGGGTGACCGTGGCCGTGGTGGACACCTTCGTATGGCAGGCCCTGGCCTCCGTGGCCATCCCCGGCTTCACCATCAACCGCGTGTGCGCGGCCTCCCTCTACGTCCTGGGCGCCGCCACCCGCTGGCCCCTGGCCGCCCGCAAGTGGACCACCACCGCCCTGGGGCTGCTGGTCATCCCCGTCATCATCCACCCCATCGACAGGTGGGCCCCGCCCCCCGGCCCTGACCTCCTGCCTCCCAGGCCCCCCTTCCTACAGCTGCACCCTCTCTCCTGACTACAGCCCACTCCTTCCTCAGTTTACCCCCTCAAGGTGGCCTCTGACCCCCAGGGATGGCTTGGAAGCCTCCTCTGGGGTCCCGCCGCTTGCTCATCACCCTCCCCCGCCCCACAGGTCCGTGGACTTCCTCCTGGACTCCAGCCTGCGCAAGCTGTACCCCTCCTCGGAGAAGCCCAGCTCCTCCTGACCACAGCCTGGCCCCCGGCCCCGGGGGCTGGCCCACCCCCTGCTTTCCAACCTCCTCCTGCTGCCAGGGGGTTCGGAGCATGGCTCCTTGGGGCCCAAGGCCCAGGCAGCTGAGCGGGTGTGAACTGGATGAAAACAAGGACAAGAAGGAGCAGCCACCGCAGCGCCTCGGGGGCGAGAAGCCTTGAACCCCGGACTGGGTGATACCGAGCGGCCGTGGGCCCGGTCTCTCTGACGGGAAGGAACATCCTCCCCTGGAGGAGACGGGGGCTGAGCCCGCAGAGGGCGAGGAACCTGGCCAAGATCACGTGGCGAGCTGGGGCCCCAGGACTCCCAGCGGCTCAGCCCGTCCGCCCGTGGCAGTGTGGCTGGACAGAGGGGCAGCGGGCACTGGGAGAAGCCGGGCATGCCGCGTGGGGGACCCTGAGGCCTGAGCCTCTGGCCAGTTCATCCCCCGATCCTCGGGGCCGGGGCTGCTGGGCCTGGCCGGGAGGCAGGACAGCCCTGGTTTAATAAATCCTCAGGAAGTGTCGTCGGCTTCCTCTCTGTTGGGGATGGGCAGGGATGTGCAGGGATGTGGTGGTGGGTGGAGGTCAGGGCTGAGGGCCCTCCGAGGCGGAGGCTGGCTGCTCGGGCCAGTATCACGCCCCTTGGCCAGCGTGAGGGCAGTGGCCTCCAGCTTGCCTCCCTCCAAGCTTGTCTTCATCTGGCCACCTCCTTCTGAAACGTCCAGGCCCAGGCCCAGGCTCCGGTGGTGGCTCTCAGAGGCCTGGACACCCTCACCCCAATGTTCACCGCGGCTATTCGGTCCCTTTCGGTCCCTTGGAGCTGGGGGGCCTTTCTCTTTTTTAAAAATATATTTGTATTGACTTCAGAGAGGGAGAAACACTAATAATGAGCGAGAAACAATGATCAGCTGCCTCTTGCACGTCCCCATTTCCCCCCTACCCACCGCCCTACACTCACACTAGGGATCAAGCTCAGAACCCAGGCATGTGCCCCGTCTGGGAATCGATCCCTGACCTTCAGGTTCAGAGGTCGATGCTCAACCACTGAGCCAGGCCGGCCGGGCTGGAAGTTCTCTTGACTGGGCTTCCTCATACCCTGTTCCCTCCGATTGGGACACTCCCTTCCAGCCGTCCCGCACCCCCTTCCTACAGCTGCACCCTCTCTCCTGACTACAGCCCACTCCTTCCTCAGTTTACCCCCTCAAGGTGGCCTCTGACCCCCAGGGCTGGCTTGGAAGCCTCCTCTGGGGTCCCGCAGCTCAGCACTTCCTGCAGGGCCTGGGAGGCTGCCGCAGAGCCCTGCTGGGCTGGGGGAGGTGTCTTTCCCCACCCCCAGGCCTTTGCCCCAGAGCAGTGTTTCCCAAAGAATCACCTGGGGGAGTTGTTAAACTACAGATTCCTGAATCCCAACTGAGAAGTGCTACACTAGAATTTTTGGGAACATAGAGGTAAAATTGTAAGCTTAGATCACTAAGTTAACTATACAATTTTACTTATAGGTTCCCAAAAATTCCAGTTTTGGCACTTCTCAGTTGGGATCCAGGAATCTGTAGTTTAACAACTCCATCAGGCGATTCTCGCCATGAGAGAAGCTTGGGAAACACTGCCCTAGAGCGTGCTGGGAGTCAGGTCCCTCGGTGGCCACCTTCAGGCAATGCTCAGCATCCCCACCAGGAGGCAGCATCTCCCAAGGTGCCGGTGTCTGCTGGGTCAACCAGCTCCCCGGGTTACCGAGAGCAGCACCTGGCAGGCGTCTTCAAACTATGGCCCGCGGGCCACATGCGGCCCGCAGAGGAGTCTGATCCGGCCCGCCAGGTTTTTTGGGCAGTGAGCGCAGCCAAGGTGTTACAGTAGGAATTACTAGTTCATATAGTCCGGCCCTCCAGCTCTCTGAGGGACCGTGATCTGGCCCCCACTTTAAAAAGTTTGAGGACCCCTGCATGAGCTAACGGCTCCCAGAACGCCTGGCCCAGTGCGAAGTGCTTCCTGGGTCATGTGTGGCTCGTTCACTCCGGGCAACCACGTCCCAGTGAGGTCCTTGTTTCCTGGAGTCGGAGTCACTGGCCCAAACGCACACACAACGTCCCATTGGCCTTGACCGCCCCACGGCCTCGCCTCACCTGTCCCCCAGCCCAGGACTGGTTCCCTGGCTCTTGCCTGCCAGCCCACAGCTCTCTTCGTCGGCGTCGGGGGCAGAGCCTGCTGTGGCACAGGCTGTGTGACCAAAGACAAGTTACCCAACCTCTCCGAGCTCTGGTCTCCTCACAGACAACTCTGCGTAACGACCTCCCGCAGCTGCCGTGAGGATGGCAGGAGAAATGGCTCCCGAAGGCGTTCGGCCAGGGCAGGGCTCACAGGCCGGGCTCCACAAACATTGGCTGTCCCTTTTTATTCCCCTTTTAATTTATTGTTATTGATTTCAGAGAGGACAGGACAGGAAGAGAGAGAGAGAGAGAAACATCAGTGATGAGAATCACTGATTGGCTGCCTCCTGCACGCCCCACACTGGGAATCGAGCCCGCAGCCCGGGCCTGTGCCCTGACCGGGAATTGAACCGTGACCAGGAGACAGGGTGCACCTGGTTCATAGGTCGACGCTCAACCACTGAGCCACGCTGGCCAGGCAGCATTGGCTGTTCTTAATAGACAAGCGTCATCCCTGCCAGGGTGGACGATGGATCCTCCCATCGGCTGATAACCCAGATAGAAAGCATGCCAGCGGTCTGGCTCAGGGACTCCACTCCCGAGAATGTATCAGGGGAACAAGTGGGTGGTCATCAGACGTGCACCTGAGGGTGACCCTCCTGGTCTTGTTTGTGCGAACTAAACTCTTGGGGGATCCCTCGGGATGCCCAGGGCATGCAGGGACATTCTCCTGGTCTGACCGTGCTGGTGGCGAATGTCCCCGAGCGCCGCCTCTGTCCTGATGCCCGGGATCCAGGCTGAGCGCGGCGGCTGGCATTCCGAGCCTCCAGGCCTTGGCCGGCTCAGCTCTCACCACCACACCTCCCTGCCCCTCCGTTCTCGCCTCCGCTGACCCCTCGCCGTTCCCGGGATATGCCCTGCACACCTGGCCTCCGTGCCTTTGCTCAGGCTGTGCCATCTGCCGGGAATGCCCTCGCCACACCCACTTCCCTCTGCTCCCAGCCTCCGGTGCCCTCTCCCAGTCAGAACCATCTTGCCGTGCAGCGCTCCATCGTCACAAGAGTTACGAAATGACACCCACAGAGCCCATGAGTGGAGCTCTGACGAGTCACCAGGCCCTCTGATCAGCACCGTGTTTGTGCAACCTGCCTATGAGCCTACGACAATGCCACCGCCATCATCCTACTGGTGGGCATTACTTCCTGCACGGCCGGCGTGGCTCGGTGGTTGAGCATCAACCTAGGAACCAGGAGGTCACAGTTTGATTCCGGGTCAGGGCACATGCCTTAGCAGGCCTGGCCTTCAGCTCTTCCCAAGGAGCCTCTGTCTGCTGGCACCAGCCAAGCCCTTTGGTTCCCATCTGCCCACGCCTGGGTAACTTGCTCCCCTGGCAGTAGCTGTGCCAGGACCTGGGGCTCAGGCCAGCGTGTCTGTGTCCCTGGCTGGCAGCACAGAGGCCAGGTGGGTGCCAGGGGCTGTGCTTCCCGGAGGCCGTGCCATGGGCGGGGCTGGGAGGGGGCAGGACACTGGGCTTTGTGCCTCCAGCCCTGCCTGGCCTTCTGGGAGTTTCCTTGGACGAGTGGCTTAAGCATTGTGTGTCTCTATTGCTCCGCTGCCCGATGGGCATAACACCTCCCCTACCCACAGGCATGGATTGCAGACGGAGACACCCAGGCCTCTGCTATGATTAACTAATAGAAGGTCTAGGACGGACCAGTCACTTCTTCTCTCCTTCTTGGCACAAGCAGGGCCTTGGAGAAGTGGTGCTCGGGGGCGACTCAGAGCCATGTCTCTGGAGTAAAGAAAAAGCAAAGAAAATACACCTTGTGTTTGGGCCCCGCTCCTGAGCGGCTGTGTGATGCTGGGGGCGTGGCTGCGCCTCTCGGAGCCTTCGTTCCTTCCCTTGTCCGTCAGGTGGCCACGAGGAGCAGCCCCGGGGGAGGCAGGAGAGGGAAATGAGCTGAACTCATAAGGCGCTTGGCACTCTGGGTGGTACATAGAGAGCACGCGCTGAATGGTAGCTCTGACATCACCACCATCATCGTCGTCATCATCACCATCATCATCATCATCACCATCATCATCATCATCATCATCACCATCATCATCGCCATCATCACCATCATCATCATCATCACCACCACCACCATCATCATCATCATCATCACCATCATCATCATCATCATCACCACCACCATCATCATCATCATCATCATCATCGCCAGACAGCTGCTAGAGTCAGCTATGACTTCCTTTGTTTAAAACACCAGCTGCAAGTTCCAAGGGAAAGAAACGAGGGTGGGAGGGATGGGTGGGGGGAGCTCTGCACCTGAATCAGGAAGAGTCCTCATGGGAGCACCTCCTACCTGCTTGAGGGAGCAGCTACTGCCTGCTTCTCCAGGAGAGCCCCGCCCCCGCCAGGACTCTGTTCCTGTCCACGGTGCTGAAATCTGCCCGGGTTGGCAGGCTCCTTCCTGTCATGCTCCTTCCGTCCTTGGTCACCGGCTCCCTCTCTCCATTCAACTTCACAAGGATACACTGTGAAGTTGTGCTCCTTACATATACACGGAGCGGCCAGATTGTTGTTTATTATGGCCTCTCAACACATAATAACATAATAACCCAGTGCATGAATTAGTGCATGGGTGGGGTCCGGCCAGCCTGGCCAGGGGGCGGGGACATGGGCAGTTGGCTGGCCTGCCTGCTGGTTGAACTCCTGGTCGAGGGGACAATTTGCACATTAGCCTTTTATTCTATAGGATATACACTGAGTGGCCAGATTACTATGTGTCAGAGATCATCATCATCGGGCCATTCAGTGTATATGCTTTTTGGGAGTAGAAGTAAAAAAAATAAAAAAATAAAAAAACATCTCCAACCCAAACTGCTCATAGTTCTTTTCCGTTTAATATATTTTTATTGATTTCAGAGAGGAAGGGAGAGGGAGAGAGAGATAAAAATATCAACGATGAGAGAGAATCATTGATTGGCTGCCTCCTGCACATCCCCCACTGGGGATCATCCACAACCTAGCCGTGACCAGGAATCGAACCGTGACCTCCTGGTTCGTAGGTCGACGCTCAACCACGGAGCCACGCCAGCCAGCCGGCCTCATAGTTCTCAGGGAAGGAATTCAGGCATCGAAGGAGATGCGAGGGCCAAGGGCAGGAGATTCCTTTTCCTACTTCTGGGGTTTCCTCGACCTCTGCCTCTCGCTTTGACCCTCGCTTCTTTCTCTTCTGCGACATTGGCCTCCTCCAAGGCTGTGCCTCTCATACCTTTCCTGATGTGACCGCAGCCTCTGAACCTTCTCCAAAATCTTCCTCCTTCTCTACTCGCTACTGTCAGGGTCAGGGGAGCTAACGATCCGTGTCTGGCGGGAGGACGGGACAGACGTAGACAAAAGCGGAGGGTCCGAGGTCTCTGCGCAGGACGCAGCACCTAGATGGGGGTGAGCTCCTCCTCATACTTCTGCATGCCCTGGTCCGGGAGCAGCACCTCCACCGTGAAGCTGACCTTCTTGGTGTGGACGAAGCTGTAGGTGTTGTCGAAGCGCAGGACGTCTGGGGGTGGGTGGGTGGGGAGACAGAGGGACAGGCCGGTGGCTGGAGGCCTGGCTTTGCACGCCTGTGTCCCTGCCCCCGCCGTGGGGGGCGGGCTGGCTGTGCTTCCCCTTCCTGTGTTTGCCAAGCAGAGCCACGTTCCCTCCACTCCTGTTTCCTTCCCCATGGGAACTGCCACCCCTGAGCCGGGCCTGGACAGACGCTGACCGCCTCCTGGCCCGTGTCCAGCCCGGCTTCAGTTGCAGCGGGAACAATGGCCACCGCACCCCATTGTGTCTGCACCTGGACGCTTGCGTCATGGGGGCCGGCGGGGGGCCATCGGGGAGCATCAGGGGCCGCCCAGCCCCTCCCTGGGGTTCTGGGACAGGCCTGCACATGCCCGCTGCCGCCCCACGGGCACCCCTACTAGCAGGGCTTGTAGCCTCTGCTTCACAGGTGAGCAAGCCAAGGGCCCAGACAGGAAAGACGTTCGCCCAGGGGTACGCGGCGAGCACCAGGCTGAGGCGGCCTCCTGGCCCCACGCGCAGCTGTGTGGCTCTGTGCCCAGCCTCCTCCTGGGGGAGGGGCACCTGTCCCATCATCCCTTGCCTGTGTCCCTGTGAACCAAGGTTTCTCAACCCCTGCAGCGTCCGCGGGTCTCTTGGCTCTTGGTGCACACACATGTGGACCAAGTGAGCAGCTTTCAACCCTGGCCGAAGGGTCCTGGGTTCGATTCTGGTCAAGGGCATGCCCACCTTGGTTGCAGGCTCCTCCCTGGCCCGGGCCTTGGTAGGGGCCCGTGCAGGAGGCAACCAACCAACCAATCAATGTGCTTCTCTCACATCCATGTTTCTCTCTCTAAAAACTAAAAATCAAAGGAGCCCTAACCAGTTTGGCTCAGTGGATAGAGCGTTGGCCTGAAGACTCAAGGGCCCTCGGTTCGATTCCGGTCAAGGGCATGTACCTTGGTTGCGGGCACATCCCCAGTGGGGTGTGTGCAAGAGGCAGCTGATCAATGTTTCTCTGTCATCGATGTTTCTAACTCTCTGTCCCTCTCCCTTCCTCTCTGTAAAAAAATCAATTAAAAACATTTTAAAAAATAAAATAAAATAAAATAAAAATAAAATAAAAAATCAATGGAAAAATGCCCTCGGGGGAGGATGAGCCGAGTGAGCAGCTTTGTGACTGAGTGGCGCTAACATAGACGGCCTGTGCCTGGGGCAGGGGGCAGTGCCCCCCTTTCCCCCTCTACACCCTGGGACACGTGGCTTCAGCCCTCAGGAGCTGGGTGGGGGGCGGGGGGTGCACTCACAGACGCCGGCCTCGGAGCAGGTGAGGCTGCCGTCCTCGGGCACCATGTGGGCGTTGTAGCGCTGGCTGGGCAGCACCTCGGTCATCTCGCCCGCCTTCTGCCGCTCCCCCATCTTGGTCTTCAGGAAGATGCCGAAGCCGATGTCTGCCCCGTCCGAGTAGAACTGCCACCTGGACATGGGGGTGGGGGGCGAGGGACACGTTCCCGCTCCGTCTGAGGGGTCCCCCAGGGGCTGGCACCCAGCGGGGGGGGGGGGGGGCGGGCGGGACAGGGGCCTGTCCCTACCTGAGGACGCAGCCCGGGAACAGGATCTCGTACTCCACCTGGTGCGAGGACCCGCGGCTGATCTGCACTGAGTGCTCATACTGCGTCTTCACCTGGTCCCTCACGTACAGGGACTTGGGGACCTCCCCGCCGTAGTTGATCTGCGGACATGGGGAGGGGACGGGCCTGGCTCCCGGCTTCCAGCCGTCGCGTCGTTCACGCTGGCCCATGGGCCTGAGATGCTTTCACCGTTTCCTGGAACATTCTGCTCATCCTGTCCTCCCCCGCCCCGCCCCTGACCCTCCAGGCCGGGTCAGGGCCTCCTCTGGGAACTGCCTCTTCCAGCTCGTCATCCCTCTGGGCCGAAATGTCCTCGTTCCTTGTTCTGTTCCCCTGCAAGGCCGCTGCTGCTGCTGGAAGGCGGGGCTGGGCCTGGGCAGCACCACACCTCGCTCACAGGGGTCTCCCGTGAACATTTGTGGGATGGATGCGTGGGTGAGGAGGCCACCCAGCTCTCCTCCCCTCCCCGCCCTGGCCCAGGGCTCTCTGTACCTTAGTTAAGCATTTGGGGTTCCCGTCTGGGTCCGTCATGGTCCCCCCAAACTGGACAGGCAGTTCCTCGGGGCTGATGCTTTTCAGCAAACCTTCTTTCCAGTTCTCTGGGGTCAGGGGTGTTGAAGGACAGTTACTGGGCATGAAGGGAATCTGTCTCCCCAACACCCACTCCCCAGGGAGGGCCTGGGCTGGGCTGCCAGGGCCAGCGCCCCCGCCGCCCAGGCCTCAGGCTGCAGGAAGAGTCTTCCAGCATCGCGTTGCTATGGAAACATGGTTCCCCGTGGCTGATGGGTTTGCACATTTTTGAGAGTCTCCCAGTCATTGAATAAGAGTTGTTTAACTGTCTCACAGAAATGTATCTTCTAGAAATAGCCCCAGCCAGCTTGGCTCAGTGGATAGAGCGTCAGCCTGTGGACGGAAGGTCCCGGGTTCGATTCCAACCAGGGGCACATGCCTGGGTTGCGGGCTCGATCCCCAGTAGGGGGCATGCAGGAGGCGGCCGATCAATGATTCTCTCTCATCATTGATGTTTCTCTCTCTCTCCTTCTCCCTTCCTCTCTGAAACCAATAAAGAAATATTTTTAAAAAGAAAAAAAAGAAAAGAAATGTATCTTTTTTTTTTTACTATTCACACTGCTTTATAACCAACTTTTTAAAAAGCTTAATCAAATCATTTTTCACGGCTGCCCAGTAATGTATCAAGTGCAGGCATTATTTACTTATCCAGTCCCTTCTTGCTGAGCCTCCCTTCTCTGAATCACATCTCCTTTTCCTGCTTTTTTTCCTCATCTTCCTAAACCCAAATGGCCTTCAGAAGTGTTGAGATGATGAGAGTTGAAAGGACACTGAGGCCGGTAACCAAGAGGTTGACTAGCAACCATCGGAAACCAATAAGGTCAATCACAGGGAACACCAGTCACCATCACAGGGAGCAAGGCAGAGGCAGCTGGGTGGTAGGCTCTACAGTGCGAGCCCCACCGCCCCCTTGAGAAGAGAAGTCTCTGCCTCTCGGTGGTGTGTGGACGTCTGGGTGGAGCGATGGGCCCGCCTCCCTCCACAGCTCATGCACAAAGCTCGGGGGACGCAACCAGGGCTACTTACTTCCCAGCACTACAATCTTCCTGCGCGTGTCCTCGCTGAGGAAGGGCTTCATGAGGTTGTAGCCCACAGGGAACAGTTTGGTGGCTGGAGAGACACAAGCAAAGACCACGGGGAGAAAGATCCACTGGCCCACCGTCTCCAGAACAGTCATAGCCAACAGCATGGAGGAATTGTGAACCATCCAGCCAACTGGTCAACCAACCAACAAGCAACAACTAACCAACCATCCGATCAATCATCCAGTCTATCAACCAACCAATCAACCAACCAGCCAACAGATGTCCAATAAGTTCACTGTCTAACCAGCCCACCAATCACCCGCCGACCAATCAGCCAACCTATCTGATAGTAGAACAACCAACTAACACACCAGCTACTCAGCAAACCAACAAGCCAATTAAACAAGCAGTTAATTGTCAAGCAAACCAACTAAACAACCAGCCAATTAACCAATGAACCAGCCAACCATCAAACATCCATCCATCCTTCCCTCCACCCACTCTAATGACAACCACCCAAATACCCACGGGGCATCCACATGGCCCAGGCTTCAAGGAGTGGAAAACCCAGCAAGGAAAACAGGATGAACACACACAGGACAACTGGTGGCCCCAGAAGGCAGTAGACAAGGAAGGCCAGAGGCAGTTTAAGAAGGGAGAGATCAATGAGGCGGGAGAGCTGAGGAGGGCAGGTGGGAGGCAGGGGGAATTCCTGAAAGAGCTGGGGCTGGAGCTGCCTCCTGGTGCGGTAAGGCCAACCACAGAAGCTTCCATGCAGGGAGCCCTTCCTCGGTGCCCGGCACTCTGATTCGTGTGCAGCCCAGCCATCAACCTGCCTCCCTGCAACCTGGGGAAGGAGGCCCAGTTCTCATCCCCAAGGGTACATACAGATGAGGAAAAAGAGAGGTCACTGGCCACACACCTTTCAAAATGAACAGGCTCTTCAGAGTCTCCGGGTAATTCTCTTCAAGGAGGCTAAAGAACTGTGGGACCAAGAGAGACCCCCTCAGAGCCCGCCCCTCATCTTCCCCGACCCCCATTGCCTTTGCAATCCAGAGAGCTGCGGCGGGGGGGGGGGGGGTCCCCTGCTTTCCATCACCTCCACTGGCCTCTACGTCTCACCTCAGACTACGGCAGCCATGTCATAATAATCACGTAAAGTAAGATTACAGTAGTGACAGTATCATAATACTCATGACCACTACTTACTCCATGCTCGGTGTTTGCAAGCACAGGGTATACACTTTACATATTCACTCGCTGGAGTGTCCGGGAATCCCTCCAAAATGCAGACTGTCGTTATCCCAAATTACGTACTCAATTCACGGAGCTGGGGGTGACGAGGCTGGGAGGGCCTTGGAGGAAACGGGCCCCTGTGGTCTCAATAGTGTTGTCCCCGAGGCCTGTTGGGTGGGGCCTCCTGGGAAGCATGTCTCTGGGTCCTGAGTCACGTGATGGGGCCCCGGAAGGCTACCATCTTTTACCAAATCCCGGCTGTGAGTGAGCAGCCAGGCCCCAGCAAGCCGAGCTGGTCATTAAACCACAAGGGAACTTCTCCTCCTCACCTCCTGGTACACATCCACCAGCGGCTTCCAGAAGTGCTTCAGTCCCAGGCCCTCGCAGTCAAATATCATCACGATGGTATCAACCCTCTTCCCCAGCTACAAGGAAGAGAGCGAGGGCCAGTTCCCAGGTGCAGGGTGCAGGCTCAGGACTTGGGGCACCGTGACGCTAGCATACGGCACCTCAGGGTTTCTCCCAACCCTCCTACTCCGCCCTGCCCCGCCAGGCCTCACCCGCTCCGTCTGCAGGTCACACTCGCGCAGGATGCGCTCGCGGTCCCTCATCTTGGCCTTGAGCAGGTCCTGCTTGGTGACCGAGAAGAGCAGGCCCTTGGGGTCCATGGGCCCGGCGATGTCGTACCACACGGGGCAGCCGTCCCGGTCGTAGCCACACATGCCCCCGGGCATGTACTTCTGGACCACCTGGGACCACGTGGAGAGATGCCAAACGTGGCAGGTACACCTCCCCGGGAACCCCTGGCTAGGTGGACCTGCGTCCAGGCTGAGAACCCTGAGGGCCTGCAGGGGAGGGCCCACTCATCCATCTGCCCATCCATCTATCCACCCACCAATCCATCCATCCATTAACTGATCCATCCATCTATCCACCCATCCATCCATCCATCCATCCATTAACTGATCCATCCATCTATCCACCCATCCATCCATCCATCCATTCATCTATCCATTAACTGATCCATCCATCCATCCATCCATCCATCCATCCATCCATTCATCCATTCATCCATTCATCCATTCATCCATTCATCCATCCATTAACTGATCCATCCATCTATCCACCCATCCATCCATCCATCCATCCATTCATCTATCCATTAACTGATCCATCCATCCATCCATCCATCCATCCATCCATTCATCCATTCATCCATTCATCCATTCATCCATCCATTAACTGATCCATCCATCTATCCACCCATCTACCCAGCAGGTACACAGCAAAGCCAGGGCCTGGCCGGCCCGAGGCCCCTGGGCTCCTTAGTTCTGTCCCTGACATCTCCCACGTCCCTTTTCATGGAGGGACGAGTCATTGGAAACATGGACATATTATATAAACATGGATATATTATATAAGCATATATATATCATTGATTTTTCACAGAGAGGAAGAGAGAAAGACAGCAGAGAGTTAGAAACATTGATGAGAGAGAAACATCCATCAGCTGTCTCCTGCACACCCCCCACTGGGGATGTGCCAGCAACCAAGGTACATGCCCTTGACTGGAATCGAACCCGGGACCTTTCAGTCCGCAGGCCGACGCTCTAACCACTGAGCCAAATCGGTCTCGGAGGGAAACATGGATTCTGAAGGTCAACCGACCTGCTGCACATACAGACACTGCTGCAGCCCGGCTCTGCAGCCCCGAGCCAGTGCCCCACCCCTGCTCTGAGCATCATTCCTCCTCCTCTGCTGTCAAACGGCTTGCAAAGTTCCTCCCTCGTGAGATTGTTGGGGACAGTCCCCAAGATCATGTCGGCAAAGCGCAGCGGCTGGTCTAGAGCTTTACTCCATCCAGGAAGCTATGGCCATTGCCAATGTCCTTCCCACCCGGACAGGGTGCTCTGAGCGAGGCCCCAGGGGTGAGGGCGCGGGGGCACAGCCCTGAGCTCAAACCCCAGCCCCACCTCGGGGTGGAGGGCCTTTGGGTAAGCTGCTTAATCTTGGCTGGGCCTCAGTGTGCTCGTCTGTAAAATGGGACCATAGGACCCACCCCCACAGGGTTGTGATGATCCAACGAACTCACACAGGTAAAGGCTTGACCCCCAGGCCTGGACCCCATAAGCCCCCCGGGGGGCTATTCAAAATGGTCACCGGAGAGGGACCTGCAGGCCCAGGAGGCTCCACAGGCTCCGAGGGCTCCCGGCCCTCCACTCACGCCCCCAGGGACCCCCGAGGCGGCGTGGGGCTTGGTGTAGGTTTGGGAAAGACCGGGGCGTGAGGGGGAGGCGCCGGCTCACCTCCGGAGGCTGCCAGTCGAGGATGTGGTCGATGTCCATGGCCTTCCGGAACTCCATATGCTGGAAGGGAGGGCAGCAGTTAGGGGAGGGGGGGGCGGCAGGCGCCGGGGGCGTGCGTGGCCCCCACGAAGCCCCTCCCCAGTGCCCAGCGGGGGGCGGGGGGCCCACCTTGCGGAGCATGGCCTCTGCCTTCTCCAGGTCGAAGCTCCGAGCTGCGGGGAGATGGGGAAGGGGTGAGCGGGGGAAAGACTGCCTTGGAGGGGCCCTGTCCTGCCCCCCGCCCCCTCCCTCCCTGAACCGGGGCTTATGGAGCAGGGGAGGTGCTCGGAGCCTGAGGGCCGGGCCCCCACCGTCCCCCCTGCCGCCCCTCACCCTGCGCCTTCCCGCCTCTGCCCTCACCTCGGAGCCAGCGCAGGAGGAAGTGGTCATCGGGGTTGGGCAGGGCAGGCAGCACGTCCTGGACGTTTTCTCGGAACTGGGGAGGGGGGCGCAGGGTGAGGTTAGACGGCTCCCGCCTGAGGGGCCTGGGAGGCTGGGGGCAGGGGCAGCTTTCAGGGAAAGCGCTGGGTCTGGCTCCTGACCGAGAAGAGGTTAGGCTGGAGCCGGTCCCTACACACCGACCGGACGGATGTGGTGCTGGTCCCTCACCCCCTGACCCTGAAGGGCTGATGTCACCGAGGACCTGACCTTGGGAGAGTGGCAGCACAGAGACCCTGTCAAGGACATGCCGAGCCCACGGAGTAAGGCAGGGTGAAGCCACGGCCCCTCCTCCGCCCCCAGCCCTTCTCCCCGGGGCTCACCCTGGCCAGGGCCTCCGCCTGCTTGGGGCTCAGGTCTCCGACGCGGCCGCTCATGGTGCCGGCGAGGTGGGAGGAGGAGGAGGAGGGACCAGTGTGGGCAGTGGCAGAGCCTGGTATGGGGCCCTGAGCCCGCGGGCCTTTTGTCCCCTTCCCTGGGTGTGGCTCCGGTCTCGTCCTCCTCCCCCTCCTCCTCCTCCTCCTCCTCCTCTTCCTCCCCCTCCTCCCCCCCCAACTGTCAAGTGGCACCTTACATAACTGGGATTAGGTGAGGTTGGGGTTTGGCTCGGGGCCAGGTCTGAGGGGCAGGCGGGCACGGAGGCTGGGAGGGAACCCAGGCCTGGGCCCTAACAGAACCCCCATCCGGGTTCCCAGGCCTGCAGGAGCCCCGGTCCCGAACGGAGAAAGAGGGGGGCTTTAGGGAGAGCGGGAGCCGCACCCTGTCTCTTCCAGCCTCGGTTTCCCCGTGTCCCTGAGGAAGAGGCTGCGAAGGCAGGGCCCTGCAGGTCACCAGCAGCCCCGCTCCGGCCGGGAGGGGTCGGGGACGTGGTCCATTTGTCTGGGGAGGAAGCGTGTGTCCTTCAGGGACAAGGAGAGACAGGATGGGGCAGAAAGACAGGATCCGGGGTTCCTCATAGACGGCTTGTTCTTTCCAAAGGGTCTATGCACTGAAAACGGTGTGGCTCAGTGGGTAGAGCATCGGCCTGTGGACGGAAGGGTCCCGGGTTCAGTTCCGGGTCAGGGCACCTGCCCGGGTTGCGGGCTCCATCCCCAGCGGAGGAAACAGCCGATCCATGATTCTCTCTCATCATGGATGTTTCTGTCGCTCTCTCCCTCTCCCTTCCTCTCTGAACCAATAAGAATATATTTAAAATAAAATGAAGGAATGCCAGCACGTCCGTGTGGCCACGTCTTCCAGGCCTCGGGGGTCCCACGTGGGCTGAAAGCACCCCCGGGCCGGCCTCGGCCCCAGGAGCTGGGCTCGCCCAGGTCCCCTACCCCTGGGCATCCTGGGCCCCCCCCCCCCCCCAATCTCTGTGCTCTCTCGGGCCCTTTGGGTGGCGGTGTGGGGTAGTGCTGGGCACCTCCCTTCTCTGGGCCTGACCGAGGTGGGTCCAGAGGAGGAGGGGCCCGCGGTGGCATCTCCCTCTGTGTGGGGGTGCCCGCCCCCCCCCCCAGGGGCGGTTAGATAAGCCTCCACACCCGGCCCTCCCCACTCCGCATTCCAGCTCTCTCCGCCCGCCACACCCACTTCCTGCGGAGGCAGCCACAGAGATTGGGTTCCCGCTGCCCGCTCCCAGCCCTAATCCTGCCGTTTTTCACCGGTCTCCTCTCTCGCCCTAATCCCTCTCCCGGGGAGTGCGGGGGCAGCTGCTGCTGGGGCCTCAGGGGCTGGGCAGGCAGAGCCAGGGGGAGGGTGTGGGGGTCCTCCCAGAGACACCCCTACAAAGTGCTTTTCCAGGTTCATAGGTTGATGCTCAACC